TTATAGAATAAGGAGTGGGTTTTTCAGAACTCTTAATATTTAACTATAAAATACTGTAGACATTTGTAACACAATATTGGACGTGGAAAAGTACAGGATACAGTTAAATTAATGTAGTTTTTTTATGTCAAGTTCTACAAATACCCTAAGAAAATTGAGTAGAAAAACTTAAGTGCTGCTTGAATGCTGAATCCCAAGATTGTAACTCTCTCCTTGCTTCTTTTGTAGCCGAGTGCTGATATTTCTTCTCTGGATGCCACATCTCATCACAATTATAAATTAGATCTCCAGATATACCCACCTTTTCAATTAGTTTGTGAAAATTATCCTTGAATATTGCAGCATTTCCCAAGTTAGCAGATAGCTTTTCCCCACAAATGTTTAACTGTCAATGACATTTGTCGAGCCAGCCAGCACTAGGAGTAAATCCAGGCTCTCCTTCTCAAAATTCATCATAAAATTTTAGGGCTTTCTCTTGTAAAATTTGTCCTGAAATGGGTGTTCCCCTTGCTGCCTGAACCATAAATAAAGCACCTCACGCTGTTTTTCACATTTACCACCCTTCATACCTTCTCTTTCCTTTAAACTATCCTTACATGCTCTTTTCACACACCAAGATTCAATTTCAGACCTCTTATTTTTCCACCCTATCAAAGTAGTCTGTTCAAGACCTAAATCCATGGTAATTTTGTTTACACTTTCCCCTTTATCTAGTCTCATTGAGGCATCTAGTTTCATTTCGATTGTCATGCTAGTTTCTTTTCTTTTTGAATGACATTTTCACTTCACAGAATATCAAAAGTTCCAAAAAATATGTTAACACTTATATGCCTGGATGTGAACTGAGGAATGATACCCGCAATGAACTGGTGTGAGTTTAGTATGCAATAAGATGCAGTCACTAAACTTCAGACAAGTCTTCTAATGTTTTGCAACAATAGAAGGGAATGTGAGCCAGTGGCCAGCTGCTACGTCACTTTCTTCATATCTTCGAAAGATGCAAACAGAGCTGTTAAGTAGTACAACATATCTTGAAATTTGTTAAGCAGTTCCAAGAATTAATAGCACAATGCGAAAATGGCAAAAATTACAGAAAAGAACACTCAAATCTTTGAACAGAACAAGATAGACATGCACATAAATAATAATTATATGTACTATATGTTGTATTTGCTCTGTTTGGGCAAGAGATATCTTAAGAAAAATTCCTAAAATGTTGTCGAGTTATACAGAATGTCGATATATAGGGAGTCGAGTTTGTGGGATCTTACTGTACCATAAACTTTGAGACCTTATTAATATCTCACCTCAGTGGTTGAATGATTAAAATCACTGAATGCTGATAGTTCAACCTGAGTTAAAATCTAGGAGGACAATCTGATTGCTTGGATGTTTTTTCTGCTTTTCCCCAGGAGCTACTTTTTCTTAAAATGTGTACCACAAAGGCATCCCTACCCTTAGGTCGATAGCCATCAGGTGCTGTGCCATATTCTAATAACCTAGTTTTATCAGTTTTTTGGTGCGAAACAAAAACTGTAATATTTCTGATATCCACTGTCATTTCTGCTATATACAAGATATCAAAACTTTACCTTTAGTCAAGTCTTTGCTATAAGTAAAATTTGATGTTTGCTGGGTATTTGTTATGCATATTAATTTGTTTTTTAAATGAAATAACTCCTGCTTTTTAAACTATTTTGATAGGCAAACATGGACTATTTTACTATTTTGGAGGATTTATATGCTTGGACATATATTTCAAGATTTATTGTATTGTATATGAATTTCTTAGTTAACTTGAAGCAAATAAATAACTTATAGTGTGATTAAATATAAAGTTTAAAATGTCACATCTACATGAAAAACTTTATATCTAATCTTGTATGAGAAAAGCACTATTTTATTTCTAATTTCTGTAATGGCAGTATATTGATTACTTTGTTAGTTATGGTTTTTTTTTTAATCCTCTTTGTTTTACTTTTAAGAGGCTTTTATATTTTTAAATTTCTTTTTGAGATGCCATAAAAATTTTATGGGTACTTTCTGATTAATCCTCCTTCCCCCGAAAAGCCGGCAACGAATTGGTGGTTGATTTTTTGCCACGTTAATTTTCAAAAGGCAACAGCATTTTGAAAATGACAGTGCACAAAGAATTTTAAGACAAAAAACACCTTTTTCAGGAACTTTTTGTGTAATTTTTTTTTTTTTTTTTTTTGTGTGTGTGTGTGTGTGTGTGTGGTGTCTTCAACCTTTCACGCCCAAGGGCCACATCAATAAATTCACAAAGATCAGCGGGCCACGTGTCTGTCAAAAAATAGTCTAATCAAAAAATTTATAAAAAAAAAGGGAGGTTTGTTTTGCAAGACTACAATTGATTTTAGGCAGAGAGATAGTGTTACAGATTTGTATATATATACATTGGTTCCAAAAAGTCAAATAGAAATCGAATTAAAATGTTTTGCAGCTTTTTTTAACTATGAAAAAAGCATAAAGATGATTGTACAGAATGATGTTACAAAATGCATTTACAATAAAAAAAGAAAAAAAACTTAAATTACTGGCAGGAAATGGTAGTTACTTTAGTTTTAATGTGAAATTTGACATTGCTTTTGCTTGATTAAAGTTTCAATATCTGATTTAATCTGTGTTGTTGCAATTTGTAAATTTTCCTCCAAACAGTCTGTCAGCCGTGTTCTTGTTTTTGATTTTAGGATTTTCATTTTACTAAAAAGCTGTTCGCATATGTAGGTACTGCCAAAGATTAAAGACATGAAGAGTGCATGTTTACGAATTCCTGGATACTTGTCTTTCCTCACGCACTTCGAATAAAAATAAATTAATGTAAGATTTTCAAGAAACTTGCATTTTACTGCAGTCACACTGTAAATCTATAAATTCTAATTGAAGTTCAGGTGGAACACTTCCAATATCTACTGAAAATGGCAAGGAGAACATTCGGATAAGAATTTCATTTTCACCAAAATCGGATTTTGAATTCCTCTTTCAAATTTGAAATGCATTGTGCATAATTATTTGAATTCCATGTTATAGAGTTCTTCACGCACTCCATCGATTTTGTAAAAGTGAGTGGAATTTTTGTTTAGCAACTGACTTTCCCACAGGATTAATTTTGTCTCAAAAGCTTTCACAAAGTAATAAAGATTATGAACAAGTAGATCTTTTCCCAGTAAGCGGGTAGTTCAAATCATTGAGATGACCTGTAATATCGGCAAGAAATGCAAAGTCTCTCAAGTCATCACTGAACTCGTGAATAGATTTCCCTTTAGATTCCATGAATTGTTGAACTTCACTCTTCAAAGAAAACAGGCGCTGAAGCATCTTTCCTCGGCTCAACTAGCATACTTCTGCATAATAACCACATTCAGCTTCAACACCATATTCAGCAATGTCATCATATTCAGCTTTCAAATCACTCAAGAAACTGTTGAAATTGCCTGTGGTTAAGTCCTTTAGACTGAATGAAATTACCGTATTTGACGGCATATAAGACGCACTTTTTTTCCTAAATTTGGTCTCAAAAAAGTTACCTGCGTCTTATATGTGAAGGTAATTGCATTCAATAATTGTTTATTTGGCTTTTACGAAATGTGAGAACTAAAAGAAACCACGCTATTGAAACTTTTTTTTCCTTGTGTGTGGCCGTCTAAATAAGGGTGCGTCTTATATGCCGTCAAATACGGTAACCACTTTTACAACAACATTCATCACATGTTCAAAGTTTGAGAAGGACTTCTTGTACAAATTTTCTTGGTAGATTATGTAGTGAAAAGTCATCATAGTATTATTTACACTTTCCTTTACATCAGATTTGAGTAATGTTGTTACTTCTATTTTCTCTCCAGTCATAGATTTAGCACCATCCGTGGTTATAGCAGATATATTACTGAAATCAACATTACATTTATCCAAAGTTTGTGTCAGACTCTAATACAAATCTGTTCCTCATGTTGTACCTTTAAGTGCAACTGGCTAATTCCTTTACAATTGTGAAATCTCTATCAACGCTACGAATAAAAATGGCGGCTTATGTAGTATCTGTTGATTCATCCATTGTTACAGAATAAAACTCAAATTTTTTGCATTTGGATTTTAACTTCGTGAATATGCCTGTTGCGAGATCCTCTATGCACCTTGCTACCGTCAAACCAGACAAGCTAATATTCAATATGATCTGAGCCTGTGATAGACAAAGCACATCAACTGCACTCTGAAGACAAAGTTTTGCAAATTCTCCATAAGCAAAGGGTTTTTAGCAATTTTTTCTGCAATCATGTAACTAACACTATTTTCATATTTTTCATTCGCTGTGGTGAAGAAAGTCTGCTGAAAATTTAGTTTTGATTTTAATTCACTCACCTTATCACTTTGAAAGTGACCTTCCAATGCAGAATATTTCTCACTGTGCTTAGTATTATAATGTCTCTTAATGTTGTATTCCCTAATCACAGCTACACTGATGCTGCAAATGAGGCAAACTGCCTAACATTCATCATTTTCAGAAAATTTTATCTCAAATGATATCAGGCATGTCAATAAAATGTTTTATATACCAAGAATAAGAGAAAAAAAAATGTCTTTTTTTAACTACAAGAAGCTGACAAGGCAATTTTTCTTGAAATCAAAATTTCTTAAAATTCTTCAATTTTTCTTCCAATTGAAATGTGGGGCCATTAAAATGCCTTCAGTGGGCCACTGGTTGAAGACCCCTACCTTACAAGAAAGACAAACACTTGGTGCAAAAACAAATGATAATCAGAAAAGATCAAATTGAAAGTGGAAAACTGGGCATGATGTGCACATGTCTATCTCGGTTGCCACATTAAATACATTTGGCATCATGGATTGCTTCTTTTGGTGGCATAAGTGCATTCATTACCTCGGGAATACTTTTTAGGGGTGCGGATAGTCAGAAAGAAACCATTTATCAAAAATAGTTCATTTGCATAATTACTGTTTTTATTCATTTGTTTATTGATAAGCTGACAGCAGTTTTGACTGGAAAGAAGCATGTATTTCTAGAGAAGAGCATTATCACCTTTGGAAAAATTCAGGCGAAAGTATGAAAAGATACCACTTAAGTGATGCTCATTTTGGGTCAGTTAATGTTGTACAGTTGTTGGAGGTGAGTTTTGTTAATTTAGCTTTAAAAGTTTATATATATATATATAGTACTAGTAAATTTTGATGAAGTTAAAACTAAAACTAAAAGGCAAAAAACTATTAGCAAGTAGAGAACATTTTTTTTACTCATTTCATTAAAAGCTTCCTAAGTTAAATAAGTCTCTGCATATTGAAACTGCTGTAAGTTAAAAAAGAAATTCCCCGCAAAATTAATTAATTTATTTAAATAATAATACATAGTGGTAAAATAAAATACAAAAAGAAAATAAACTGCATTATTATTTTAAAAATTCAAAAACAAAAGTTTAAGATCTTGGATTTCAAGTATATTTGCACTATTTTGCCTTTAATAGTTAAAATTCAGAAATTTTAGGTGTTTGTAGCAGTTATGTAAATAATATGAAAAGCACTCCAAATATGAGATAATATATGTATGTACTTGTGACCCAGTGTCAACTGTATAATAAGCTAATTAACCAAACTTATCTGTAAATATATACAGTCAAAAATCTTTAATCCGGAATAATCTATAATCCGGACCTCAAAGCTACAAACTTTCTGCGCATGCGTAAGTGCATATATGCATTTATGCATGCACATAATACCTTTACGCATGCGCATAAAATGTTTACGCATGCGCATTTAATGTATAACGGACGGTATAAGCTAAGCTAAAATTATCTAATTATCTATTTCAGTTAATGTTGATGATTGCGTTGTTCCTTAATTTTCGAATTTGATCCGGCTTATTATTTTTTGCAGACTGTAAGAGCAATACTATAAAAGTAAGCTTGAACTTTCGATTATGTCAAATAGAATTTCCGATTCTGGAGCTGCCAAAGGATCTACAAAGTGAAAGCATGTTTCGATGTCCATGAAATAAAAAGTGTAATTGCTGCAAAAAATGAATAAAGGCAAAAATGGATAAATGGATCCTTTGTTTCTCTCACCATTCCGAAATCTGTTTATCACTTTCACGCTGCTCTACGGGGGTAGGGGGGAATGTCGCGGCGTGAAATGAACTGGAAGTTGATCTGTCAGCACTATCCTTATCTTCACGGCAGATGTTTTTATTTTATTCGGCTTATAATTTCTTACTAAATGTAGTATTTCATCTCGATGTACTCCGTCTTTGATATGATTTAAATCAAATTCTTCGTCATTATAAATATCACGAATACACATCAAATAGTTTTTTGGTTGCAATTTTCTAATTTCGACTATGTGTAATGTATGCTTTATGCATGCGCGCGTTGCAAAAAATGTTTAATAAACAAATCAAAATTAAGCTTTTTTTTTTTTTTTTTTTTTTTTTTTGTGAATTTTGATACCCTTTAGATCATAATTGCTCCTTATTTCATAAATTACAGTTTCATATTTTTAATTTTATAATTTTGCATGCCATCTTAACAGATTTAAACTGATGATCTATAATTCGGAAAAACCGATAATATGGAATCGCCGAAGTCCCGACGAGTCCATTAAAGACTTTTGACTGTATAGTGCATTTTGCAATTCTTGCATTTCTGTGTTTTTATTTATTCATTTACATAATCAATAACATTGCGATAAAATTGGGTAGTAGTTACAACTGATATGGGAAACTTTGCAAATTTTAGCAATTGGTAGGTATAGCTGTACTAATCAGTATAAGTTTATTATTACTACTGAGACAGGTAAGATTTTTTAGAATATTTTAAGAGAAAAAGAAGTCATCTTACATTAGCATTTACATCAGCCGTTATAGTGGTTAATATCACCAATTGCTATATCGAGGGGCTCAGGTTTGAATCCCAGACAAGGCATGGGTGCTTGTAAATTTGTGGTGTTTTTGTGGCAAGGGGGCACTCAAAATACACGGCAGGCTGAAAGTTCTCTTGAGAGGTTGTTGGTAGATAAAAAGAGCGGGAGACCCTCAGACTCCTCCTGGATGTTCAAACCCTCAAAATTTCAGTGGGACTATACCTATATCGCCAGTGGTGAAATTCTGTTTCTCGCCCAACTTTTACCTATACATTCAGTTCAATACTGTGTTTGAAAAGCTTTTATTTATTGAAAAGAATATTTATTTTTGAGATACGTGTTTTCTTTAAGATAAGTGTTATACACAGTCCAGTCACATTAATGTGACCATCTGTCAAAAGCCAGAATAACCACCTTTCGCAGAGCGGACTGCTGCGAGACGTGCAGGAAGAGAGTCACATAGGTCCCTGAAGGTGTTCTCTGGGATGTTGAGCCATGCCGACTCTAATGCCGTGGCCAGCTGCGGGCAATTACCGCGCGGTTGAGGATCCATGGCGCGAACAACTCGATTGAGATGGTCCCACAGATGCTCGATTGGGTTTAAGTCAGGTGAGTTTGCTGGCCAGGGGAGGATGGTAAACTCATCCTGGTGCTCTTCGAACCACGCACGTACACTGGCAGCTGTATGGCACCTCGCATTGTCCTGCTGGAAGATGCCATCATCCTGAGGAAAACAATGCGCATGTAGGGGTGAACATGGTCCGCAAGGACAGATGCGTACTTGTATTGATCCATTGTGCCTTCCACAATGATCAGTGAACCTAGAGAATGCCAGGAAAATATTCCCCAGACCATAATGCTCCCGCCTCCAGCTTGGACCGTTCCGGCAATGGTTGCAGGGTGGTTCCTTTCAGAGGTTTCACGCCTTATACGCCAACATCCATCTGTCCGATGGAGCATAAAACGCGATTCATCCGAAAACGCAACCTGTCGCCACTCAGTGGACGTCCAGCTGCTGTACTGGCGTGCAAATTCTAGCCTTCGCCGTCGATGAACCAGCAGTCAGCATAGGTGCACGAACCAGGCGTCTGCTTCGGAGGCCCAGACGCAGCAATGTTCGCTGAATAGTACTTTGGAGACACTTTTGGTAGCCCCTTGGTTCATTTTGGTGGTCAGTTGCTCAACGGTAGCCCGTCTATCTGCCCGAACGCATCTCCGCAAACCGTCGTTCGCCTCTGTCATCTATGGCCCGTGGTGCACCACATTTGCCACGTCGCTGATTTTGGACAGTCCCATTTTGCCATGCACGGTACACTTTTACCACGGCGGCACGCGAACAGTTCACAAACTCAGCCGTTTCGGAAATGCTTCCACCCTTGGCCCGAAAGCCAATGATCATGCCCTTTTGGAAGTCGGATAAATCGCTTCGTTTCTGCATTACGCCAACGATTGAAATGTTTTCCAAAGCCCTCACACACCCTTTATATACGCTCAACTGCACTGTGCTGCCACCTGCCTTCTGTGATTGGTTATTTAACTCTGACATGGAAAGTACGTGGTGGTCACATTAATGTGACTGGACTGTGTATATTCAGGTTATTTATTATGTTGATGTAAATTTTAAAGGGCCAGTAGGACTGAAAAATATACGTATTTGATATACTGTGAATTTTCTGTTATGCAGTTGTATGAACAACATTTGAAATGACTAGCATAAAAGTGATAAACATTTGTTTCATTTTTGTTTTAATAATTAATATTTCTTATAAGTTAACAGTTCTTTCATATTTTAAATATATTAAGAATGTAAGTTAAAGCTTTAATTTTTATTATAATTTTTTAATAAACTTTTCATATAACAGTTTTCTTACTGATTTTCAGCCGTTTATTCATTTGTTTATTTATTTATCATTTGATTATACAATTTATTTGCTGTTTGTTTCCATTTGTTTTAGAATGGTCAGATATGTGCATCAGGGGGCCGAGATGGAACCCTAAAACTTTGGGATTTAGCTGTTTTAAGTCAGCAGCAACCAGATGATCTCGAGTTCTCTGATAATAATTCATGCTTACTGTATTCTAATGCTGCTCATGCAGGTGTAAGTTGATCTTCTTCTTCTTTTTTTGGGGGGGGGGAGTGTTGGGGAGTATATTTCTGTGTATAACATGAAAACAATTTCTAAGTAAAATTGTAACTTATGGAGATGCATTACTTTAGTGGGTTAAGTCAGTGGTTCCCAGATTTTTCGGATCATGACCCCATTTTAGATGCTGAGGCTGTATTGTAAATCCAGATTCTCAGGAGTATGTATTTTACAATATGCTTGGTCCCATTATGCAGTTTTTCAGCAACTTGCAAACCTCCCCAAAAAGTTTCTCTGGTTTGAAGACTACTGGGTTAAGCAATATGGCCTACTTTGCCTTTCAAAATAATATCATAAATCTGATGCGATTTAGATTTTGTTGCCCCTACATATGTTTATGGCAGTTTTTTCTTCATTCCTTCTCTCTCTCTGTTGGTTTTGGTTTATCTGGACATTGCATTCTATGGTAAATTAAATTCTGTTCCTGTGTTTTATCTGATAAATGCACGGCACAACTTTATGACCATATTAAATTTTTATTGAAACAGAGTCAGATAGTCATGAATTTTCAGATCTAGATTTAAGGATTCTTCCTTTCTGTAAAAGAAATGACAAAAAAGATTAGTGTAAAACTTTATGGATTGTAGTGAAACATCTTAATTTGGTTGTTTCTCCCCTTTCATACTACACTAGTAACATACCAGTAATATATCTTTCTGAGCTACATCATGCAATTAAAAGATAATTTCTTCATTTAATTTTAGTGTTGTGAAAATGAAAAAAAAAAAAAATCACATACTTACTTTTAGGGCCTATGTAAATAATAAAAAAAAAAGTATTATTTTTGTATAAAAGTAGTTTGCATGTTTAAGCAAATAAAACACAAATATTGTTTAATATTTTTTGAAAAAATACATTTTGCAGTTATAGAATCTCTATTGTATGGGAAATAAAAAAATTGTATGATATCTATTGTATAATATATAAAAAAATAAAATTCTTTCTTTTGTACTGCAGTAAATTTATATTTGACAAATTTTGAAAACTAACCCATTTATCTGGATTTATTACTATTATTATCTTAGATGGTCTGTAGTTCCATTAATTCTGGTGTTTTTTCATATGAGTTATGTGAATATGAAAAATTTATGTATTATAAGCTAGTGTGCTTTGCCATAATCTAATAAATCTAAGGTCTTCATGTCACTTATGTATTTTTGGAAACAAACCCCATAGGACAAGCTAATCTGAGGTACTGGCTAATAAAAAAGCTTTATTTAGTGTCTGGAACAAAAACCTGAAATGTTACCACTTTTTTGCTAGTTTTTAAGGCCATTTAGATGAATGAATGTCCAAATTTATCACCATTTTCTAAATGTTTCAGTGCTCAATCATTCCTTTCTAATTTGGAAACTAAATTGGGACCCCGAAAATTAATATCTAGATTTTCTAGAATTTAAATCTCTGTTACCCTATTAAGTTGTTACACCTACAAATTAAAACAGAGATACACTGTCAGAATACTTTGAATAGCAGACAGTGAAAGAATTAATAACTTCACAGCCAGAGCTGGATTAAGAGGCTGTAAGCATGTAAAAGATTTTGGTGTCCCCCCCCCATACGTTAGTTTTTTCTTCATTGCTTTTCTCTCTCTCTTGGTTTTGGTTTATCTATACCATGCAATAAAATCGGCAATGGGAATTTTTTTTTTTTGGTGCCCCCCTTTTCTGAAATACCTGAAAACCTTTTTGTGGTGCTCTGTTTTTGTGATGCCCGAAGCACATGCTTTTATTGTTGAATGATTAATCTAGCCTTAATTACAGCAATATAAGCTTCAAAGGGATAATGATATTCACTTATTATATGTTCATTAGAGAAAATTATATTAAGTTGCAATTTCTTCGAAAAGCTCTGTTTTATTCAGTTTCTTTTGGAAAGCTACAGTTTAAGGTATGAAATAAAGAAAACTAGGCATAACTTTATTGCACCTTTTTGTGTAGATTCAGCACTTTTCTCTTTCCATTTTATGACTTTGTTGTAGCTGCAGTAATTTTTGTGATAGTATGGGAAACCTTGCTAGAGGAAATACGTCTTCATTTCCTACTACAACCACAATGATTAGTATGATCCATACTGAATAATAATTCTTTTCTCCCTGTTCTTTTTGCAGCCCTAGTGTTTTGACACATCAAACTTAATTTTTGCTGTAGTGAAGTACATTAAAGGAACGCATTTTAACTTCAAAGATTTTGCAGCAAAAATCTCATGAATGAATCCAGTTATATTTTTGTTAAATCTATGAAAATGTTTCTATAAAGAATATTTTGAAGAATTGGTAAGAAGTTCCAAGCCATCTTCACAAAGAAAGACAATTTCTTCTGGAGAAATTGTGCTAAATTGGCCTTTAGCACAGCTTATTCATTTGTTCCCTGGCAAAGACAATATTGGACATGTCACAAAACTACAAGTAGCCAATGGTGAAATCATTGATCCCTTCGACAAATTTATCCTTTGGAACTTACTTCTGTTGACAACAACAAAATACCTCAGGAAACCAAAGCTACCCTAGAAACAGAATCTAGTGATAAGAAAGTTCCAGAACTTGTAAAGGTAACTCAAAAAGGTCGTTGACAAAAGGTGTGAGGCTATTAAGTTTAGCATTTCCCATTTGATAGTATTTAATCATTTGTTCTGCAATTTAGTTAGATCTATGAATCTGGCAACCCAATTTTTTTGGGGGGGGGATGTTGTGTTTGGAAAAATTCTGAAATTATAATTCTAGCTATGCAGTATTTAATTTATGCTACAGAAAACATTGGATGTTATTCATCATTCAGATCTATCAATCATTTGATCATTATATTACACTTACAAATCATCTCATTAATCTCTGTTTCTGTGAAGTGAAAATAAATCGGATATTAAACAAAGTTATAATTCTGAGTCAAAACATGTATCTGAAAAGAATACAGTAAAGTAGACGACTATATTGTTACCTTGAAGAAGATTCTTAGAAAGGCTTTCATTGATAATGTTTCATACTGAAAAGTTATTGCATTCCATTTACAAGAATTCCCATTTATAATACCAAGTGAATATCAGGTGTGATACTTGAATCTAAAGAACAGTTTTCTGCAATAATTTTAACAAATTAAATGTTTCATATCTGCTCTAGATTAAACAGACATAGCAGCCTTCAAAGATTGTTAACAAATGCTTAATATCAATAATCTAGAATTAGAACTTTACATGATGTATGGCTTCAAGTAATTGAAGAGCAAAATGGAAGAAGTTGAGAACTTAGAGAAGGAAGTTTGATCAATTTGCCAAAGCCAGACTTGAATTAAATTTGAGGAACAATCTGGATGTGAAAGACTTTGCAGCTTTCTTTTCTGTGTTCTTACAGGATATGTTAGTTTCTGCTGATATATAACGGAGTTTCTCTAAATATACAAGGGTGTTTTCAGTTGAAAATACCAGTGACTTGTTTTCCAAATCATTGAAATAGAGAGCATTATCCTGGACAGCCTTCTTAAAACACCGTAAATGTTATGCTTATTCCCTAAAGATGGTCACTTAAATATTATAGCTTGTATTATTATATATTCAAAAATGAACAAAAAATGTTCATTAATTGTTTTGGGAATGAGTAAATGCATTTTATCAGCACCATTTTCTGTCTTTCTACATTCATTTTCAGCAATTTGTTTTTTATTTTTTTTGAGCATTAATTTTTCACCTTAAAACTCTTCTCATTATATTAAATGAGCTAAAATCCATTGATTGAAAACTCCGAGATTTATTCAGAATGCCCTACACTTAATAAAACTAATCATTCGCAAAATAACATTGACTATCTTGATCTTCTCATTATATTAAATGTATTATTTATTTATAATTAGCTATATCTATTTGTGACATGAAGAATGAGTATCATTTGAGAAATAATTTTTCATATTATTAATATTAATTGTCGTATTTTGCATTTTTATGTAACAAAACAGAGTGCTAAAAATTAAGAAAACATTTTATTTTCTAACTGTAATTTATATGCATGTAAACTTAAGTACTGTGTGTTTCATATGAACCTCCTTCAGATTAAAAAAAAAATACTCTTAGTAAAATTGCTGTATAATATATGTCATGTCCACAAAGGTCCTTACCCAGCCTTTATTTTTGCAACCATTTGTGTAGACATATACTTCCAGTTACAAAAATGTTTTGCATGAAGCAAAGATTCTTGTTTTTCTGTTTCTAAATTTAAAATAAATTAGTTTTGTATAAAATACAAATCTAACTTTCTACTTCTTATGCCTGTTCCTATACTTATATTTAGGACAATGTTATACATATTGTAAAAATAAAACACAAAAAGTTTCACTCCCGTACGATTAATTTCAAAATTATCAATTTAATTAGCCTTGAGAAGTTTGTTAATGAATAAATTAAAATCATTGGAGGTAGATTCCTCTCCTTAAATGATGCTTTTTGTGGTTTGATGTTTTTTGTGATTTATAAGTGTGTAATGTTATTTAATTTATAATTTTGTTACAACTGGCATGTAAAAATGAAGCAAATGAGACTACTTACATTGAAAGAAATGTTTAATAAAGCAAATATATAGTGAGGTTTTTCTGGAGGGAGAATAAATTTCGATTCCCTTAAGGATCATAAATGTTTCATTATTTCATAAATCACTATTTCATATCTCTAATTTTATAATTTCTTCATGTCATCTTACTAGATCTAAACTGATGAACTGAAACTGATTCAGAAAAATATCAAATCCAGAGTCTTCAATGTCCCAAAAAATCCAGATCTTGGACTTTGTAAAGTTCCACCCTTTTATCTAACAATTACCTCGTGAACAGATAATCGCTTGGGATAATCGTCTGGGAACCTCGTGAACAGATAATCGCTTGAGTTCGGGAACAGAGACGTAAAACTCAAGAAGGGTTAATTACCCTTTATTATTCCAAATAAGAATTGAACAGTCGGCTCCTTTCTCAGAGGATATAGTAAAGCCTCCACTTGGGCTTGCATTCAAAGTAATAAGAAATAAAACTTAACTAATGCTTAATTAAAAGATATAGCTGAAGCTATCAAGATTTCCAAGTAGTTGGCCCCTAAATATCAAATAAGCTGTCAAGGGCCTGAAATACAGCCGAGAGAGAGATGTAGCCAAAAGGCGGACAGGCGCTTAGTCAGAAACTCTGGCTCTCTTACGAACTCAGTGGAACTTACTTAAATACCACTCTTACTCATTTGCATTTAATGCAAATGAGTAAGAGTTCTAAAAACACATTCCGGTAGGAAATTGTAAGCTGATAATAGGAAGGACTGGAAAGTAGCATTAACTAAAGATAACTGTTAAAAATTTAGGATACACCTTACAATTGTATAGGAATTAATTTCCTAACCAGTGCCCATTAGCAGCCAAGTGCATGAGATGAAATCACTGAATACTAGCTCTTGGACATGAGTTCGAATCACAGAGAAGAAGCTGGCTGCGTAGGGTTCTCGTGTTTTCTTCCATGATCAATGTTAATTGAAATCAATTTTCCCTACAAAGTTGTACATGATGGCTTCTTGTGCAATTCTTCAATCAATAGTACTGTTTGTTTAATTACTGTTTTTTCCCTGGGTTCGTATACTTAAAATTTTGAAAATAGAAAAAAAAAAAAAAAAAAAAAAAAAAAAAAAAAAACAAAAAAAAAAAAAAAAAAAAAAAAAAAAAAAAAAAAAAAAAATTGATCAGTTTATTCATTTCAGATTAAGATTTAACAGTTATGCAATAAACTAATAAATATATATTCTTAAGAAAGTAGACTTAAAAGTACTGTTTTAAATATGATAAAAATTGCCAGTTTTTGAATATGATAAGGCCTCAAAGATGGAGATGATTTTGATCTTTTGAAGAGATGCCTGTTTTAAAGGAATGATGTTCAACAGCAGTGTTTATGTTTTCAGGAACACTATTTATTTTTCTGAGATGGCTGTCATAGAGTTGACTGCCTAGAGAGAGTTACTATATTCTAATGGTGTTTTACAAATAAAAGGCTAATTGTAATAACAATTATTAATTTGTCTGGATTATGACAAAGTATATGAAGACTAGTCTTAACTTGTCTTAGGGAAGGAATGTCATGGAGAAAATGACAGAAACTCCCATACAGTTATCCTGTTTACTGGGATATGAGCCCAGATCTGGTTCAGCAATCTCACCACTCGGCTGCTGGTGGGACAAGTTATTTGTGATAATATGTTTGATTACTATTGTAGTTCATGGTATAAATGTAATAAGTCCCATAAAATTTTATAGTTTATTGTTAACCATTAAACATTTTAAAATTTGTCATTGTAGAAAAATATGATGTCATACAGCAATAGCAGCACCCTCACCTGAAGTAAAAAGTTAGTTAGATGGGAATGGCGCATTAAGCCATAGTCTTTCATTAGTATAATTTTCCCTATGTTGATTAAGTAACTAATTAACTGTACATATTGTAAATAAATATTTAACTTAACCTTGTCAAATATAGATCAATTGTAGATATAGATATGATGTTCTTCAAATAGGAAGATTTTAGATACGGTAAAGTTTCGACTCAGAAAATAAAACCTCTTTCACGACAGTCATATTCTGGTCTATATTTCCTTAAATTTTTCTACTGGATTGTCAAGCAGAAATATATAGCTGTGTGCTGTAAAAATTTAGCTGCATGGATCAGAAATGGGCTAATAATGCAGTAAACTATCTGGGCTTTAATGTATGCTTTATATGTTACATTTAATGTATGTAGGAAGTAAAAGCTCAAATAAGTTTATAAAAATTAGTGAATCATAGTGCATGCATGATGCACTCCCTGATGCAATCCTTTTTATATCATCTCCATATTACTTCACAAATTCCATTAATTGGAAAATTTTGCTTTTTGTTTACAATATATGAAAACCTTCAAATTCACTGTCATCATAAAGATTAGCTAGTGTCCCCTATACACTTTTGGTGATGTATTCAGAGATTGGCAAATAAAAACATTGTTCCGCTAAATTTTGTATTGCTTAAATAGTATGCTGACAAAGTCAGGCCTGAATTATTGTTAGTTTACAGAGGCTGTTCACATTTTTTAGACGATGTATATTGCGTTCACAAAACTAAATTACATAAAATTCTTGTGTTTTAAATGTTCTGTTTGACATCCCTTATTCTGAACTATCTTTCGACACTGCAATTTCCAGCATAATAATGCCTTTTGAAGTGGCAGAAGAGGTATTCTATCTCATTCCTCCCGAACAGCTTTCCAGAGTCCTCTTAGGGTTTGGCCTTGATACCAGTTTTTTGTTCCATTTGTTTTAGGAAATTTACAGTGGATGTTGATGTGTGACTGCTAGCTTTGTCCTGATAGAGTCTCACGGATTGATGGCACTGTGGGTAAAGTGATGGTATTTCATTCAGAAAAATTGGTGAAAATATGTTCCTGATAGTATTTGGAGTTAATCTTGACATTTTTTTGCACTCTCTTTATTTTTACCTTGCCATTATAAGAAAAACCAGCAACAGTCATGAATCCCGTAGAAAAACTTTCTTTCGATCCTTTGAACCATGTACTTACATTTTTTTCTCCCCTTTTATGATAATAAATGGCTCTTTTTTTGTTACAATCATTTAAATGCACCCATGCTTCATCTATTGTGACAATTGTTTTCCACTTTTCTTTGGATAAGTGTTTCTCATATAGAATTCTGCAGCGTGTCCTGCGTCGAACGATATGCTTTGGAAGAAGACTATGCACATTGCGTTTTTTCGCTTTCTTAAGATTTAAATCAACGTTTATCATTTTGTTTACAGTGGACACCAAGCATTTTAATGATTTTGCAACTGCCCTTTGACTAAAGGGATTTTCTTTTAACATTAAACAGCGTACCTTTGCAATAGTCAAAGATGTCCCTTTTTTTCCTTGGATACTTGTTTGGAATTTTTGTCCCACTTGAGGCTCCAATTTGACATTTTTTTTTTTCCTTTCTTGTTGATGGTATTACCTATCGACGCTTTAGATATCACAAAACCATGACTCTCACATCATTTTTGGATAACGGAGTATGCACATTTCTCTCCGGAAAGAGCGTAAATGTAGCCTCCGAACCACGCCATTTTGAATAAAAGCAAAACTTTCAAGCCACAGACGATAATTTTGACTTTTAAAAACATAGTACAATTGCAATTACTTCTTTTGCAGCAAACAATGTTTTATTACCGCTTACCAAAATCGTCTAAAAAATGTGCGAACAGTCTCTGTAGTTATTTATTATTATACAAGACTCTCACATCGTTTTTGGATAACTGAGTATGCACATTTCTCTTTGCAAAGAGCGTAAATGTAGTCTCCGAACCATGCCATTTTGAATAAAAACAAAACTTTCAAGCCACAGACGATAATTTTGACTTTTAAAAACATAGTACAATTGCAATTACTTCTTTTGCAGCAAACGATGTTTTAGTACCGCTTACCAAAATCGTCTAAAGAAATGTGCAAACAGTTTCTGTAGTTATTTATTATTATACAAGTATTTCCCGCTCATGCTTAAGGCTTATCCAAGTTCCAAATAAATAAATTCCCACATATATATAAGACTTATCCAGGGCCAGCACTAGACATTATGTGGCCTGATGTAGTCTCTGCAGATATAAAATTTTGCTGCCAAGCACTTTCCTAAATTAAAAAAAAAATTTCATCTTGTCTAAATACTGCCCCACCCATAAACCAGCTCTAGCATCTGTCCTTGTTGGCCCACCAACGGCCGAGCGGTAAAGACGCTGAACACTGGTAGTTCGGTCTGAGGTTCGAATCCCACGAACGGGCTGGCTGCATGGGCGTTTTCGTGGTTTTCCCCATGTGTAACGTGTATACGAGCCAGTTTCCCTTAGAAAGTCCTCCACGAAGGCATCCCTCTCTTTAGGCCAGATAGCCCTCGTGTACTTTTGCCCTAATAGAATAATCCAATCCAATCCATCTGTCCTTGGCTTAAGAGTATCATTTACAAAGATCTCTTTTTTTTACGTATGGAAAGAAATTTCTGTTAAATTTCTCCTCGTCAACACACTCAAGACTGGTAGTGGAGTTGCTGTAATCATTGCCAAGCATTTACTAATATTTAATAAATAAATAAATAAATAAATGTTGCTGGTGAGCTGGAGGATCTGGATTTGAGATAATTCTTGATTTTATATGATGTACTGTATATGTCTACACAAACAACTGTTTTGAAAATAAGGCCAGATAAGGACTTTTGTGGACACAGTGTGGATATATATTTCAATCAGCAAATTTCTGTAATCTATGGAAATATTATTTGCTATATAAAGGTAGGCAAGAAAGCAAACTTAGTTATCATTAATTAAATTTGCCTTTTTGCCTGACTTTAAATTTTACATTGCTGTGTTTCTTCCCTATTTGATTATTTGCTGTGCTATTCATATAATGAAAATAATTTATGTTTTAGGCTTGGCTGTGGTCAATAGCATATGACAATATGAATAAAATGATATATACTGGAGGGTTTGATTGCTATTTAAAGACATGGAATGTCGAAGAACCATCAGTTCAAGTAACTTGTTGTAGGTATGGCAAGAAACCTATACATATTTCAACAAGATATTTTAACAAAAAGTTTGTGCTTTTCATAGATATTGAGAAGTAAATGAATATATATTATAATCTATTATTTATTGTTATTCAGTATTTGTATATTAAAATTCATATGCTAAGATATGCTTTAGAATTTTGCGTTATTCAAATATTTATCTTACTCAAGGGAAACATTTTTAGACTATTGCCCCTAAAAAATGTAAGTTTAATGGGCCAAGTTAAGATATTTATTAAATGGTTATCCATTTTATATATACATGTATGATTAAAGTAAACATAGTAATTTGTAGTAAAATGTTTCATATAAATATTCTTTGATTAAATAACTTATTTAAATGTAATTAGTTATATTATTTTTAGATTTAACAGGAGACCAGAGGTCAACAAAAGCTTATGCTATTAGGCAGTATCAAAACACCGCAGTACAAATAAGTGCCAGATAGATGCTTTTTCTTTTAAATTTAAGTTTTTAATATATTAAATGTACAAATATTTTCATATTAATTTACATTGTTTTAAAAAATTTTAATATAAAATGTAACATTTGCTGTTTTAAATTTTAGCATCAATAAAATGCTGTTTTTGGCTGACTTTTTGGCATTTTACATGTCATATTAGTATTTCCTTAAGGAAGAAACTGTAGCAAAATTCTAGAATTGGAAACTTTCAAATTGGAAGATTCGAGAAAACTGATTTGACTTTTTTTCTGAAGCTTCTAGCAACTTGTGGTATACTCATATGGTTTCAAGAGCTTGAAACAGCTGTGGAAAGAAAGTTAGCTGAATTATAATTTAGAGCATACTACATGGGTAAATTTAACTGTACTTTTTCCATGCTAAGGAGGAATAGCTAAATGTCGTTTCTCCCTCCTGCGTCGTCTAAATACGCTGAAGTACTAATCATTGCATATCCCAGCCTCTTCTTCCTTTTGTCAGATTATTCCTTCCTGGTGTTGCAATTTTAATGGCCGGCAGTGTACATATAAAAAGTTTAATGTATAAATTTTTCTATAAAAAATTTATTTTTTGAAATGTAGAACTGCCAAAACATGAATATTTGCATTTAAAAAAAAACCTTTTTTTTGCAATTGGAAGTATATATCTGTAACCAAGAGTTATAAAGGACATTTATGGAGATATTGTATGTACAGGATTTATGTTATTTATAATGCAATGATGCATAGTAAGTATCTTGGCAGCAGTAAAGAAAGAGTATGCCCAAAGAAATCTAAAAAGGAATGAAGAAAGCAACTGTATTTATTGCACAGACATGAATATTCATAACATGTTGGTTTAAATATCAACATGACATAAATATCACTACACATTCAGGTGTAGAGGTAGTAATTAAACAAATAAATATAAAATAAAAAAGTTGGGTCGGTAAAACTTAAGTATTTAACTATTTACCTCATGTGTAGCTATTTGATTCATTTGTGATTAGATTACCTGAATCTTTTTATTATTAGATTAACAAAATCAAATTAATAAACACATTGATTTGATCACTTTTTTTTAATATATATATATAAATTTCTGAATGTAATTTTGAGCTTTTAACTTATAAGTAGTGTCTTTTTTCCTCCCAGTCTTGCTTCACCAATTTTGTGCCTTGCTTATTATGATAATGCCTTGGTATCTGGCTGCTATGGTCGTAGTGTTAGTCTGTTTGACCTTAGGGCTGATCTTCAACCCGTATTTCAACACATTCATCATAAGAAACCTGTGATATGTATTGTTTGTGATGAAAAATACATTATTTCTGGCAGCGAAGACAAAACAATCATTATATATGACAAAGTAGCAAGGAAAATAATGAAAACTATACAGGTTTGTTGTTTTATTTTTATTTATTTTTGTCAAGAATATATGTGTTTTGAATTAAAAACTTTGTATCTCTTGCAAATGAAAGAGCAGTCATTGAAAATTAAATAAATTAATATTATTAAGCTTTTTAACTATATTAGCAATGAACTTCTAACAAAAGGAAAGGCAAATTTGAATGTCCTGCTTGTGATTAATATACTGTGGTATTCCTGCAAAGATGAAGTTGCAAATAATCTCGCCTTCCCCCAAAAAAATTATAATGCTTCTCCCTGTTTTCTGGTTATGATTCAATTTTTAGCTTATAAGTGTTATATGAAGCTAATAAGTGTTATATAAGTGTTATATATTAGCTTATAGTATTATATATTATTATCTGTTATATAAAATTTTTTAAAGGCTAATGGTCATATAAGGTTCATAGCTACAGTTCTGAAATTTTTCTTAGAATTAAATAATTTTAATTTAATTTTTGTTAGAATTTAATTATTTAATAATTATTATTTTGTTAGAATTTAAAGCAGTGAAGTGTGACATTTCATTTCATTTAATAGATTCTCCAAAACCATTATTTATACTTCATACTAATACCCTGACCGGTATAGTGGTTAGCTGGCTGCTGTATTTCTGGGTGCAGGTTTGAATCCTGGTGAAAGTTTAGGTGTTTATAAGTGTACAAGGTGTGACAAGCACACACACACACACAAAGAGACTGGTCCAATAAATCATTGTACTTACAGGATCAGTTCTCCATTACATTATCACCTTCAAAGTAGCCCCCTTTTGCATTTGGTGCTGTCATTGCTGGTAACAGTTCTGGAACGAGGTTTTTGGAAGACCCTTCAGGAGATTCTCCATTTTTACCTGAACTTCTTCAACTGAGGTAAAATGGCCTCCCTTTAAACAAGATTTAACTTTAGGAAATAAAAAAAGTCACATGGTGCCAAATCAGGTGAATAAGAAGGATGCCCCATCACAGTAATGTTTTTGCTGGTCAGAAACTGCTTGACAGATAGGGCTTTGTAAGCAGGTGCATCGTCCTTGTGCAATAGCCATCCATCACTGGATGATTACAATTCCAGTAATGTCGAAGAAGACAACATTGCCTTGAATTTTGATTTTGACATGCGTGCTAAGTCCCTTCCCCCTGAAAACCTCTCATGCCATTCAAACATATGTACATGAGACAAAATTTCAGTTAACATTTGAAATGTTTCCATGGCTGATTTTTTAAGTTTGACAAGAAACTTGATGTTGATTTGTTCGGTTTTTACATTAGACATTTTTTCAGGCAGAATGCAGTTGCGCATGTTCACTCAGTGACACAGTACTCCAAACTGGTGTGATCGGTTAAATCCAGACTGGTCGCATGGATGGAGGAGGTGTGTGGGATGACATCACCAAAACAGTAGTTGCCAACTCCACTTTTTTTTTCAAGTTAAACACTTAGTCTCGTTTTTTGTGCATGTCACACCTCATATAGTGCCTTTGCAGTATGGGGGCCATTTAAAGTAAGAGCACGCTAGGATCCTCTGAAAACTTTTGGTGATAGGGAAAAGGGTAACAGGTGTTCTTATTTGTCCCTTGAGGTATTCTTTAAAACTGGGATGAAGCTGGGCTATCACCTATACTGCTATTCAGTTGAGAAAGGCCTGTACTAATGGTCGTTTAATTCTGCACTTCTTGCCATGATAAAAATTCATAGATCTTTGATGTTTCTGTCAGTCAAGTGAGATACATCATAATAACATATTTATTTAATAGTACACTTATGCAGAAAAGCAAGAAATTCATTTTTCAATCTGCAATATGGCTACAAGAAAATTTCAGGATGCCTTTATACACGGTAGAATGACTCGCAAGCTTGAGGAGAGGCCTAGTTTGATGTCTGTCGCCTAAGAGTTTGGAATTGATAAAAATGTTGTTTCATGAGCTTGGAGAGCCTTCTAAATGACTAATACAGTTGTAAGAAAGGTTGATGGTTGTCAGACAAGGAAAACAATAGTGACTAATGACTCATATTATCTCCTTGCAGGTGAAAAGAGATCAAAAGCAGACAACGGGCAACCTTGCTCAGCAATTGAGTGAGGCAATCAGATGACAGGTATCCCAGTTTACTGTAGCCAAATGATTTCGTAAAGGTGGCCTATTTGCCTACCATCCTGAATGCTGCATACCATTGACAGCAGCCCATCTTCGGCACTCTTTAACCCCCATCCGCACGAGGAAACGTATCTGCGAACAAAATATTTGCAAATCTGCAGCACCTCCACCAGTCTGTCAATACAGAGAAACATATCTTTGGTATGTCAGATACATGTCTGTGGCACCTGCACCAGGGTCATGAGTATTGCACGATAGGATATATTGTCGCTGGGCATGTACTTGTCAACAGCCAATGAAATTTCATATAGAAATCACATATCCGAATAGTAATGGCAGTATTCTCAGCATTTAGCTGATTTCCTGTAGTGAACTGTAGAGCGATGTATTCCCCCATCATTTATTAGCATTAACTAAATCTGCTAGAATATTTTTCCTGTTTAAGGGTGTTACTATATTCTGAGAATTCTGACAGACAAGAAAAGCTTAATTTATTGTCTATTTGTATTTGGTTATATTTCCAATTTTTCTATTGTTGACTAGTTGGACTATGTCTAACTAGTTTGATCACTTGGGACATTTACTGAAGTGTTTAAATTTTCTGTGAACCAGGAGATTGTGATTTCAAATACAGCTGAGCTATTTTCTGATTTTTTGTACCAAAAATAAATGTTTTTATTGTTTCTCTATTTAACAGAGCTCTGTTAATATAACAATTATTAAAATGTTTCTGTGCAATATGTGATAATTTTATATTGTTTTGCTATTTATTATACATAAAATTTTAGATCAATTAATTATTTACATAATTTTATATTAATTATATAAAAATAATTATGAGATTTTTACGGCATTTATAAAATGGTAAAATTTATTTTTCCTCTTCCATTCTTTATTATGAATCTACTTATCAGCAATGTGTGTTATATTTTATGCTGTATATTAGTAATCAGTTTATTTTCTTGTTTTACATAATGATTATATACACACATATATATAATGAAATTGCACAATGTGAGCAAAATTTTGAAAATAATGAAATAAATTTCAAAACTCTATACGAGAAAGAAAACGCCACAGAAATATTTGAAGGCCATCCTATTGTTACCGTGAAACCAGTTAAATTAGTAAAACACTAATAAAAGAAAAATACCAAATTTGAAACAAAATTTACATCTCAAAGAAAACAATAAAAAAGAAGGTATTTTGTATGGAAACCAATAAAAAAAAAATTATTAATCAGCTTTGCCTAATGCTTCAAACAGAACTTCTCAAGGAAAAAGTATTTTGAAGCCTTAAACCAAGTTGATTAATGAGAGATGATATCATGTTTCATATCATGTTTATTTTACTAATTTAACTGGTTTCCCGGTAATAATAGGTTGACCTTCAAATAAGTATGGAACCTTTTTCTTTCTCATGTAGAGTTTTTAAGTCTATTTAATTATATATATATATATATATATATATATATATATATATATTTGTTTTTAATTAGTTCAGAGATATTAATTATTAATATATATTAATTCAGAGGTATCTTATTTTTAATTAGTTCATATATATTATTACATTTCATAATTGCTTTCCTTTCTGTTTCATTAATTTAATTTTTTTTAAATTTACAATTTTTTCGTATTTTTCATTTTTATTAGCATGTTTAGTCATTGATTCTTTCTGTTGCTGTTTGTTTATTATTACTATTATAACTTATTTAGAAAAAGCCCTGAAAAATAAAGGCATTGAAAATTTGCAAATTATTATGTTTATTGTGAGGTCAATGGAGCTTTGACAGCTCTCATTAGATTAGTAACTCAGATGAACTGAGATACAAATCTCCCTGTGTAGATAAAATGCTGTCAGGAGACATAGAAGACTTGTTCAGAGATACGTCTTCTTGTGTAGTCGGGTCTTTACAGTGGTATAGAGCAGCGTTCGTCAACCCTTAGAACATCACAGACCACTACATATATAATTTTACATTTGGTGGACCACTAATATGAATTTTAAAAAAAAAGGTAAATACATTTTTACAATAATAATCAGTAAACTACACATATTTCGTTCACATTGAAAAATTACATGAAAAGAACAAAAATCTTACCTTCTTGTACAGAAAGCTTCACATTTCCATATCACTTGAAAGGAACTTCACGAAAAGGAAGAATAAACTGGCAAGAGCAAAGCAATGTCAGTAAACTGATAGTGTTATGCCACCAATTTTTAATTATTGTAAATATAATAATCATTGTTTACTCAGCAGTGGCGCCATCAATCACCACTTGGATAAAACAAAACGGAAACGTCCAGTGATGCAATTATAAACAAGAATGCAGATGGTTCTCATAAAAATCTACCAAGTTGCTTATTGACACAGAGAAAAATTGTGTTATTAACGACTACAATAGCATATGTTTGTACTTCAAAAGGAAAGAAATTTCCCCTTTGCTCTAATATTTATAACTGCCGCATATCCATGGATGACAACTCTCACTTTCAAATGTCGCTAGATTCACCTGCAAAAGTAGCTAAAAAGTCGCTAAATCCAGAAGGAATTTCGCTAAAAGTAGTAGCTAAAATTAAAAAAAAAAAAAAAGTATAATCTCTGTATTCCATTATAGGTTTTCTTACTCGTCATTTTTTAAACTAAATCTTCATAAAAATATAAATAATGTCCCAATTTTTCTGCTGACCAGCAAAAAGTTGTTACGGACCACCGGTCGTAGAGAACACAAAGACTGGACACCTCATCATTGGAGTTCGTTGTTTTGAGAATCATTTTGGTCTGACAAATGATTCTAGGTTCCAGCTGATGTGGAGAGAGGTAGAGGCATGTTTTCATCCCAATAACATAAGAGAAAGAGACCATTGGGCTGGTCCTGGCATGCTTGTGTGGGGAGACATTATGATGAACGAAGCAACAGAGTACCATTTTTGACAGAGGTTCATGTACTAGAAATTGTTATTGTGATGAAGTTATCTTCCCTTGTGTGCATCTTTCCTGGGGTGCCATTGATCCTGATATTGTTTTTATAAATGACTGTACTTGATCGCTTTGGACTCATGCTGTTAAGGAGCTTCTGGAAAGTGAAGATATCCATAGAATGGATTGGGTAGCATGCTTCCCTGATTTAAATCCCATTGAAAATGTATGAGATACTTTAGGGGAATGCTTAGTGGCATAGTCTTATCCTCCAGAGTACATCAGATATCCGAAGCAGTTGTTTCTTGAACAGGGGAACTCTTACCCTGAGAACCGTTAGATAATCTGGTGTTGGGCATCGACAGACAAAGCAGCACAACCACTGCAATTAGGGGAGGCCATATCACTTATTAATCCACTTTGGTTTGTTTTTCTTTCTATTGGCCCGCCAGTTACTTGTACCAATGCCATTCTGTCAATGAAGCCTTTTTCTGTACGGGGTTCGTAGATTTGGAGTGAATAACGGTGACACTTGATGAAGTATCGAAACACACTTTGTTGGCCAGTATTATTCAAAACATCTCCAATAACACGTTTACACAGTCGTCAAAGACTACAATAAACACACTGACACGATCAGCGACACAGCCTTCACACTATCAGGCTATAACGGTGGAAACAGCTTCACGGCAAAGCACCAGAGTATAGCTCTCGACTCTGCTCGATCGCTCTCGGAACTCTACATACTTTCGAGGCTCTCCATGCCACAGCTCGCGATGCACTCGACAATACACAAGAGTACAGCTCTCAACTCAGCTTACTAAGACAAAGCTCAACGATGCACTAACTCGCGATACACTAAAAGACTGTCTCAATGCACTTGACAACCAACTCGGCGCTAGACTTCGAAACACTCGTTCATTGACTGACTATCAACTCGCTAGACAAGGCACTAACTCCGGACGGACTAACTGACTCCACACTGACTGACTCTCCACGTATGTAGCTTTTGGCTTGTATTTGAGAACATTCTGGGATCCCAAAGAGCTGCTAGGCTAAATCAGTAAGAATTCGTTCCAGAAGGTTCTCCATCCGTCTATAGCATATCGCCAATTTTGTCGCCAAATGTGGTAACCTTCCCCTCCCTTGCCATTTTCTGGCAACTCTAAACCTGCTTTGCAGGGAAGCTATCTTACAGTGCCTTGACATTTTGTAACAATATAAATACTGCATTGTTCCTTTGTAGTATGAATTTCATGTCTCCCAGTTGATTTTTTAGTGAATTATTACCAAAATCAGAAAAGTTGCGTATATTTGACACACTAGTATATTCTTCTCTACACCGCAAAAATTAGCTTGATAACTTAAACAAACAATTATCTGATTCAGAAGTCAAACAACAAAAATCAGCATTAATTCACAAAATTTTCACAGGACTAGTTTCGATGGTTTTACCGAACCATCATCTTCAGCTGCAAAACCGCAAATGAACAAGATAGGAAATAATGTTTAGATAAGATAAGAGAGCCTGGACAAGAATAAGCAAGTGGCGCCATCTGAGAATTTTTTAACTGCTTGATTAATAATGTTGGGTGAAAAGCCCCTGTCAATAGCTATTGCTTTTAAATAATTTAGTTCTTCATCAAGGGCTAGTTTGGTCACAGGACTAGTTTCAATGGTTTTACCGAACCATCATCTTCAGCTGCAAAACCGCAAACTAGCCCTTGATGAAGAACTAAATTATTTAAAAGCAATAGCTATTGACAGGGGCTTTTCACCCAACATTATTAATCAAGCAGTTAAAAAATTCTCAGATGGCGCCACTTGCTTATTCTTGTCCAGGCTCTCTTATCTTATCTAAACATTATTTCCTATCTTGTTCATTTGCGGTTTTGCAGCTGAAGATGATGGTTCGGTAAAACCATCGAAACTAGTCCTGTGAAAATTTTGTGAATTAACGCTGATTTTTGTTGTTTGACTTCTGAATCAGTATTTATTCGGCGTGTTATTGTGTCTTAATTAAACAATTATCTGTTTTTAATAAATGTTTATTAGCCCAAGGAGCATTAGATCCCAAAGGGTTTTAAAATGGCATTTTGCATCATTTCACTTTCTGCGTTGGCTCACTTTTCAAATTGTTGCCACTACATATTTTTGCCATGTATTCTATTTAAAGAAACTAAATAATGAAGAATCTGCATGAATATTTTTCGCATTGTGAAAAAACAATGGTACCTAGAGCCATCAAATTTTGAATAACAGGGTCCTCCAACCGAACGTGGGCACTTAGAAACCCTAATTTGGAATTTTGAATTTGTTTTATCATCTAATTCAAATTTTGTAGAACTTTAACTAGTTTTTGATTAACAAACTCAATGATTTCAAAGCGTTCAATGGCAACACTGTATGGAGGGGGGACATTTTTATATCCATTGTGCGAGAACTATGTATCAGAAATTCTAAGGATGTGCTGTTTTTAATTATTTTGTGATATTGTTGTTGAATTGAATTTAAATGAAGAACATGATATTTAATAAATAGAAGTAACACAGGAAACATAAAAAAAAAACCTTTTTGGCATAATATAAAATCTAAAAGCTTTCAAAATTTCTTTAAAAAATTATTTTTAATGTACTCTAAAATGTTTTTCGTTTTTAAATTATGAAATCATTAAAGGAAATATGCTATCAAAAATATTTACTCTATCTTTTCTTTATAAATATATCTGTTTTGTAATTATATAGAAATAGTATAGATTGATTTTTTTTTTAATGTATGATTGCATTTAAAACCATATTTTAAGTATTTGTAAAAAATTATTTTTACAGTTTGATGCATTTCCTTTATGTATGTCGTATGGATTGGGGCAGCTGCTAGTGGGAGATGTTGGAGGTTCATTCCATGTAATAGATCCAACACATGAAAAGTTTGAGTTATTACAAGTAAGATGCTCATTTTTTTTAAAAAAGTATTATTAAGTGTATCCTTGTTAAAATAGTTTAGTTTAAAAGCATGATTTAATGATGTGTTCTTCATATGCTAGTTTAAAATGTTTGAAATAAAAACACTAGCTTTTATATTTTCGTATGGCTATTGATATAAAACATTATGATTGTTGAGATGTTGATATCTAGTTTATATTATGGAGTGAATGTAATAAAATTGTGAATGAAAAATGTTATTAATTGAATTTTTTGTATATATCACAGCAGCTAAATGTATATGCACAAAATGTTTCATTCAATACTACAAGGATTAAAGATTTGCTTTTATTTTTAAGTTTATTAATTCTAATAATATTGATAGATGTTTTATATAAAAATTTTGATGGTCTATTAAGCTTGAAATTTTCATGATGTTGATGGACATCATTCGGATATCCTGTTCATTTATAACAAAAAATAAATATAAATATCACATTTAGTATTCAGTAACTAGAACTAAATAATATGAGAAAAAATAATTTTACCCTAAAGTTTGAGAATCTTCATGAAAATTTAGAACATAATTATTGCATTTATTTTACTTGGGATGTGCTATGCAAAGAGCAACTGAAATATCATCTTATCTCAGCTGATTCAGTATGTATCCTAATTCCAAGTTCTTGCAGTGAGAAAATGTCTGTACTGAATGGAGTTTTTCAAAATGTACTGACTTTGTTCAGTTATTATTTTAGAACAGTGGTTCTCAACCAAAGGGAAATTTCATAATTTTAGAGGGAGAATGTGGTCAGTCTTTTATTTAATTGTTAACTAATTAATTTCAGTTTATAAATACAAATTTTTAATATACTTTTACTCAGAGTTTGGTATTTGTCAACATTTTCTGTACTTTTAATATTTAATTTAGAAAGAGACATTTAAAACAATCTAAATCTTATAAATATATGTATTTTTAAAATTTTTGAAAGTAGGGGGGATGATCTAGCAGTGGTAAAAGAGGTGCATGGAGTAAAATAGTTAGAGACACTGCCTTAGAATGTTAAAAATCAATTTGAAATATATCACCGGATTGGTTTTCAATAATTTTTGTTGGAGCTGATTCTGTTGCATTGTTTCATATACATTATATTGCGGATTGTTAGTAAATCTGCATGAACTCATAGCTTATTGTAATTTCTGTGATTATTAACTTAGGTTAAAATCAAAATGATGAAATGTAATAAAATGTTACACAAAACAAATAAAGTCCAGATAAAGTTTGAACAATTTAAGCGCAGCAAAATGCTATTTAGCTGAATCAGTTAACAGTGGTATTTTTTTATTATCCACACTCTCGATTTCAGCATTCTGTAAAACTGCCATGTGTTTGCTATATTTTCAAATACATAATAACCAATCTATAATATGAGTATCTCATGTGTATTTGAATACATGGGAATTTGTTTGCTATATATTTAACCATTATTTCACTGAATAACCAGCTGTAAAAATGTAAATATCAATCATATAGACTTCTTAGATATTTAGCTTCCTTATTAATGATTTAATAAACCTTGTCTTATAAATGTTTTTTTTTTTTTTTTTTTTTTTTTTTTTTTTTTTTGTGAATTATTCATGAATAGAAAACTGTACTTACGAACTGTGCAACTAAAAGCACATTTTGCCATTTCACAAAATTATCATTCAGTTGTGACTTTTAATGAGAGTGCAGATAATCAGAGCATTCTGTTGAAATTTATTACAAAACATATGTCTTGAAAATGAGTCCTTAATCTTATTTTAATTTCAATTTCAATTTTATTTTATTTATTTATTTATCTGTTTGAACCCTTTTTTTTAAGTAATTTATACAGTTATTTAAATTTTGACAGTGCATATTTTTTAAAATTTTATGCATGATGTAAAAAATTGTACAATTTGGACTTTTAGACTTATCCATCTGGACATAAAATGAAAGTCACTGGAATACAGCATTCCCTTGGTTCCATTATCACATGCTCAACTGATAAGACAATACGGGTGTTGGAACCAAATGTAGATCCAGGACTGATTGCTGTACTTGAGAGAGATGCAGAAATATCAAAAGTAGGCTCAAAGTTAATTTTTTGCATTATTATTTGAAATGTATGTTTATTAAAATTGATTGATCTCTTTCAGATTAACTTTATTATGTACTTATCAACTACAGAATTCTAAATTCCAAACTGAATATGTTTATTCCTAAAATATTTATAGCCTTAAATTTTAATGAGGTACAGTAGAATATCCAAAATCCACAAATCTGAAGATGTATAACTGGGTAGATTTTTAGAGTTTTGAAAATTTCAAGGTCATAAATAAAATAAATTAAAAAAAAGAATAATATTAAAAAATTTGAAAGGTTTCAGATTTTAAATTACATCCAAAGGGGCACTTTTTTAACATTTTTTGTGTTGTGTTATCTTTATGTATTAAATATCATGTTCTTTTCATTTAACCCATAAAATTCAGTTCAAGAACAGTATCACAAAATAATTTTAAATTGAGCATATCTTTAGAATTGCTGATACACAGTCTCGTGCACTGGAGATAAAATTTTTTTCTCTGTACAACGTTGCCATTGCTCGCTTTGAAATCCACAAACTCAAATTAACAAAATCAATGTTAATCAAAAATTCATTAAAGTTTTACAAAATATGAAATCGATAATAAAATAGATTCCAAATTTCAAATTTGGGCTTCCAGGTGCCCATATTTGCAGTAGGATTACGTCATTCAAAATTTGATGGCTCTAGGTACCATTGTTTTATCACAATACAAGAAATATACATACATTTATGCAGATTCTTCATTATTTAGTTTCTTCAAATATAATACAGGATGATAATATTGGATGGCAACAATATGAAAAGTAATTCAGACTTTTAAAGTTTTCGATTCAAAATTCCAAAACAAGATTAATAACCTTTGATGATGATGTCGTGTCTATGACAAAGTGCAATTATATAGCTTCGAAGCTGTCAAAGACAGCTTTTGCCACCTCGGCAGCTCTATCAGTATAAAGTAGGTCCACTGGGTCTTCAATGCTGATGTTAAACAGTCTGTGCTGGATTGCTGGGATTAGTAGCCCTTCTGAGCTAATAATAAGATTTACACTTTCTAAAAGACAAATCTTCTGTATGGTCAGTGTCAGTGTGTCAGTGACATGATTTGTTCCTTCCTGCACATTTCAAATCGTCATCTGACTAAACAAAAGTTAGCGTCCTTTTATTCCTATGTTTTCCGTGCTCTTCACGTTTGCTCCTCCAAACTGTTTCTTGATGAACTAAATTATTTAAAAGCAGTAGCTATTGACAGGGGCTTTTCACCCAACATTATTAATCAAGCAGTTACAAAAATTCTCAACACACCAAAAGAGAACACTTTTCTGAAGCTTTTGAGTAGGTAACTTTAACTGCTGATATGAAATTTTTGGAAGACTATCCTGATTATTTCATGTTAAGATAAAGTTACTTGTGGCTCAAAGACTAATAGATGAATCTGAATACTAATGTACTGTAGGCTGCCTTGATGCAGGATACTCTAAGGTATTGCTATTTTCTTTTGTACTGATTACTCTGTAATTTCTTGTTTTTAGAAGCAATTTAGAGCAAATGAGTTGTCTAAAGACCTATGCCCAGTTATCCAAGAGTTACTATATCTTCTTGTGATAAATATATGTCTTGAATAGTAGTTTACTACAGCAAATGGAAGATTAGTGACTATTGTGCAGTGAAGTGTAGATATGAAAGTGATGCACTGGTACTTTGATTCCTTTAAGCGTCAAAAACGGAAGGAGCATATTGTTCACTATCAAGATTTATTTTGCAATCTGATAATAAGCGTATGAAAATCTAGAGAGGAAAAGGAACTTGGAACAAGATCAGTCATATCATTGAACACCGGATCTTCAGTGCTGTTAGTGCAATGGTATTAGTTGAATCTTCTAGGAACTGTGGCATTAACCTGTATGTGTTTGCAGGGATACTGGGATGGCTAAAATGTATCAGAATGAAGTCCTTGATCCCATTATGAGATAATACATTGCTGTAATTGATCTGATATTTATTCTTGTGGATGATAATTCATATCCATGCAGGGCAAATCTAATGCTTCAAGAGTCATCCTGCTTCAATCCAAGAGTGAATGCATTACTTGTATGGAGCAGTCACAATGCTGGTTCAGCCTCAGTACTATAAAAAATCATGGTATGCCCTTGAATGTGCTGTCTCTATCCATGTATCTCTTCTAATTATCCTCAAAGAACTGGATGCGGCTTTATTAGAGGAATGATAATTGGTTTATTATTATCAAATTTTTGTATTTAATTTTATTGAGTTACCTGTGGTCACATACATCTGACTGTTTCTTTTTGTTGATAGTACTAGTTCTTTGTGTGTTTGATCTCACTACTGAAGATAATGAGCACTGTTGTTGAGCTTGTATAAAAGTCATACACGGTTACATTCCTTATTGAATAAATTTAATTTTTTGCAAAAATTTTTGGTAATTTTCTATTTCATCAGTGCAAATCTCGTCAAGCAGACTTTATTGGCAACAACACACAGTATACACATTAAAAAATATTAATAATGCAGCAAATCTCGGCAAGCAAACTTTGTTGATGACAACATATAGTATACACATAAAAAATTTTTAATAAATGTTACTTCTAAGAATTTTTTACTTTGGAGGCATAACCATTTTAATATCGTTTACAATTTTTTCAAATGGATTCCCCATTGTGCCATTTCTCTGTGTTTCTTATTTTCCCATTTCACTTCCCCCACAGTCTTTCTATTTTTTTGGCATGTGTGTTTCAGTTTCCTGATTGACAAAATTTTATTTATAGTTCACCTTGAAATGTTCGAAACTTTCCTCTTCTGGTCTTTTAGTGCAGTATGATTTCCATGAATTGGAATATATTATAGTTCCTTTTTCAATATTTTCCTTAATGGCATCTAATATAATACTCATGGATGGGTTTGGCACCTTCACAAGGAAAAATTCATTTGTTTCCGGCAAACTCCACCAAAGATCCACTGTTGTGGTGGAATCCATCATGCATTGTTTTTTTTTTTTTTTTTTTTTTTTTTTTTTTTTGTGCTTCATGAACATACTTTCATCAACTTGGATGATTATACCAGGTCCTCTTATTTTCCATTGTTGATGTTTAAACAAAGAATCCACGTAAACCTCATGTATGTAGTTATTCCAGTCAACTATTCTGTGACTGATTTCCAGCTGCTTTTCACACTATTTAACTGAAGTTAATTTTTAGCTGCAAACATAAATAAACCTCACACATTTCGAGAAACTCAATTTCAAACACTAAAAACATGTGCCTTTCTGGATACTTCTACTGCAACAAGTTGGAAGGTTGCAGTGCCATTGAATTTTGTCTCCGAAACACAATTTCATTCCACGATTATTATCACAAGCAGCAGTTTTAGGCAAAACACCTTTCGCTTGAAAGAATCTGACAGATTCTTACTCTGTTCTGCGCAAATCTCTAATTTTCATTTGTTTTTCATCCATTTTTGATGTATTAGGAAAAATATGTGACTGAAAAGAAATGGCCACAACTCGTTTTGAAAATGTGGCAGAAAAAGGTTGCCTGCGGGGATATTCCATTTAATGTTGGTTTATAATTTGTGGCGATTATCGCCTGCATCAGCGAAATGGAAAAATACCAAATTTTTTTATTCCAAAAGAAGAAGGACCTGTATCTGATTGCCCTCAAAACTGATATATATATATTTTTAATCTTTGCCATACTAGTGTTGCTTTTACTGATTAAAGTGTATAAGATTTCTATTTCAACTGATTTGTATGTATAACTTCAGTTAATATAGTAAATATTGCCCAGCAAATGACTTTTACAACTACTAATGGCAAAAGCAGTGCTTGAAGCAAAACATTAGCTGTATTACCAAGTGAAGCCAGGTATTGCAACTACTTATAAATATTTATTTATTAGTATAAATAATGAAAAGCATCTCTAATGCTAAACATAGAATATATATATGTTATCATGAACTGTGAACTGTGGTTGTTGCTGTTTTTGAAGTCTTAAATAAGTCAAAGTTTTATTTTTAATTTTGAGCTTAGTTTTCAAAATTTATGAATATCCCTCTTTCCAGTTTTACTAAGTACTATGAGAGCTCAACTTGTTGTTTACCAATGTGCATTAGTAATATGATTGCAGAGTACTTGCATTGTTAAAATGTTTCATTGTTTACTGTTTTGAAAAAAATGTTGTATGTGTAAATATTGCATGTGATGCAGAATACTCTGAAAAGCTAAAACATTATGATCACCTACTCAATAACACATTGCATGAAAACAGCTGCAATTTACCTTGGCATGGATGCCACAAGTTCTTGATAGGTGACTAGAGACAGGTTATATCATATATCTAAGCAGTAGTCACGCAGAGTTGAATATCATTTCGACCTGATGGTGTTTGAGCTCTGAACGGCCACTTCATGACATCCCAAATGTGCTCTATCATGTTAAGATCTGGTGAGTTAGGTGGCCAGGATTGAATTCATTGGAATTCATCCTTATGCTCCTCGAACCACTCCAACACAGTTTGAGTTGTTTGACATGGGGTATTGTTCTGCTGAAAAATTCCATTTTCAGTTGGGAAGATGGATGCTATGTAAGGGTGCAACTAATCCGCAGTTATGTTCAGATAGTTTGCAGCTGTTTTCAATTCTACTATAACTAAGGGTCCCAGAGCCATCCATGAGAACATCCTCCAAAGCATAATATCGCCACCATCAGCCTGTGTATGACCTGCTGTACAGGGGTAGCAACAGTTAGCCTGGAAGACAGTGTACCCTGATACAACTATTGATTTGATTAATAAGAAATCATGATTCATCCGACCAGGCAACTGTCTTTCACTTATCCATGATCCAGTCTCGATGTTCCCGGGCCCATTGTAGGCATAGTTGACAATGATGCTTGGTCGACAGACATATTGGGACGTCTGCTGCACAGTCCTATATCTAACAGTGTTGGCTGAACTGTGTGTTCCAAAACACTTGCACTTGAACCTGTATTGTATTGGGCTGTCAGCTGAACCATTGTGTGGAACAGAATTTGCTGTACCAAGTGGGACAGTCTCCGACAACCTTTTCCTTTGATGACGCATGAACATCTAACACCTTGGCGTCTACTGTTGGTTTTGACATCATTTATCCACTTTGCGTAAATACTAACAATGGCAGATCATGAACAACCTACCAGTCATGCAATTTCGGAGATACTCTTTCTGAGTCTTAGGGCCATTAGGATCTTCCCTCTATCATATTTGGTTAGATCAGCAGCCTTTCCCATCACTCTAAAAAGTAAGTGCAAGAATAATTCCTTACCTTCTCCAGCAGCATTTAAATGCCATTCCCACTTAATCAAGTGCCCTCCACGTCATCCAGATGAGTTCATTGGACAATGTGGGGATGCTGGTAATGTTTTTCCTCGTCATATATGATTGACTGTGTATTTTAAAATCCAATGCACTGTACTGTTTGATATATAATGTCTGCTATTTAAATAAAAGATTACTAACAGTGTTTTTTCTCCCCCTCAAGATTTCTCTATTTAATACTACCCTGGTGAGTGCAAATACAGATGATTCCATCACTGTATGGACACCAAAAGAAGAGACATAGATTGTTAATATTTTGCTGCATTTCTCAAGTTTGCTATGTGATACTAATTTTATATTTTGATGTATGTTTTACTATATGTAGTGTCTATCATCAGAACTAACTTATTTCTGTGTATTTTATTTAGTCATTCTGTATACTTTTATTTAAAAAAAATATGAAAATAGTTATAATTAGTGGTTTTGAATGTATACTTAGTTATTGTATGATAACTTAAAATTATTCAGAATTGTTTCAAAGAGTTTTATATATAACAAATATATATGGATCCATAGTGATGGTAAGGTATTGAATAATCTTTTTAGCTTCACCCACTAATATTTAACATTAACTAAATTTTATGATTTTGACTCAATTTTATGAAATAGCTTTTTAATCTTTTCAGCTATGGATAAAAGATTTTCAGCTATTAATAAAAGTCTTCTTCTAAAAAGTAGTATATAATTTGGATAAATGAGGGAATTAAAATTTTAAGAATACTGCATTTATGTAGAATTTTATTGTATTATTTTCATTAAAGTTTCACTTAGTTTATAAGTGTGTTCATTTATGTTTGTTGTTGTAATAATATTTTTGAGATTGGTAAAAACTTTATTTAAAAGTCTTTGGAAGAGTATTTTATATTTATTTTCTAATTCTTCTGTTTTTGAAATAAAATTTTTAATAGAGTATCATTAAAACATTATATTTTATTATGTAAATTTTTAATATATATATATATGAAAATGAATGTATTTTTCCCCAAGATTCAAAGTTAATATTAAATTGAATTCCCCAAGATTCAAATAAATTATTTTGTCAGTTGATTGCATTTTTATTGTATACTTATCATAAGAATTTCCTTTGTTGTGAAAGGGGATAAATCTGTTGTCTTAAATATGTACAACATGACACATAATGTGCATATTTAATTTATGTGTCATGAAGTATATATTTAAAACAACTTCAGAATAACTTAAATTTGCTTTCTACGTTAACATTGATTAAATGCAAAACCTGTGCACTATTTTCTAAAATTATTATGTTTTGAATCTCATATTTTTGTCTGCATATTAATTATTACTTCAAACTGTTCTTCCCCATTTGGATTATTTTTATATAAATTGTATCAAAAATTAAAATCAGTAACAAGATTTAAAAAAAAATTAACTTTTGTTATTAAAAAGGTCATATTATAATATGCCGATAAGAATATAACGATAGAATTTATGTAAAGAAGTATGTAAAATGGAAGTCACTTAACATTTTAAATCTAAATTATCCAGTTTAAAATAGAACAAAACTATGCTACAACTAGTGATGTATTTTTTTTTCCCCTTGCTTGAGTTTCCTTAAAATTTGAAGGTAATGTTTCAGAGAAGTTCATAAGTTTTCAGCACTAGTATGGATTTTATATATATATATATTACATGAAATTACACCTGTTTTATTTAAAGTATGGCATCTTTTTATTTATTTTTTCAAGTTTAGTTAACTCGCTGTAGATGTTATTTTTAAAAGAACTTTTGGCAATAAAATAGATTTTTTTATGTCTGCTTACTTAATTATATATCATATCTTAAAATTGAAATATATTGTTTTTTCAGTATATGTTTAGAATTTTATCACATTTATAAATAGAAACTGGAATTAACGTGTTTATTAATAATCTCTAAATAATATTTTTGAACATTAATACACATATTTACTAACATATAATAAACATATTTATTAAATTACTTTTTATTTACATATGGAAGATGAATTTGGCATATGGCTTTGAAAATTCAATTCATGTTAAAAATAAGTCCCTTTAATTTTCAAAAGCTAAATATTTTTATATTTGATGCACGGTAAATTTCATTAAATTTTATCAGATGTGTGTTAGTAGATATTCTTTCAAGAAAACAGTTTCACCTTGCCTAATATAAACTCAAGATTTTATATTGATGAATTCTTTGGTCAACATTTCAGAGGTGGTTTTCTCATCTTAAATTATAGCTACAGTTTGATTTAAATTGAGTATTCATACCTATTTAATATGAATCAGTTCCATAATTTATAATGAAGTTATATTTCATTATTTATGAATCAGTTTCATAATTTTTAAATTCATCTGTGTACAAAAAATGACAGTTCTCATGTATAAATGCAAACTCAGATAATAGGTTCACATATTAATTAATTACATATGTTCTAGTCTTTAAAACTGGCTGGAAAGTAAGGGAGCAGTATTCCATTATGAAGATGTTGTAAGAATGGTTATCTGGGAATCTGCATTTTTTCTAATTTATGTAAGATTTGAGTAAGTACTGTCTTACAGTTTTGACTTGCGCATTTAAATTTTGTTGCAATGTTACAATAAATGTCCAGCCACAATGAAGAATGAAGATTATATTTATTAGTTATAAAAGGCCTTAGATCAACATGTTGATCATAGAATGTTTGAGAATAAAATGTTGAGAAGTTGAGTTTAATAAAATGAATAAAATGTTATAGAATTGTTGAGAAGAAATGAATTCTTTTAAAAGCTGAAATTTTCACTGTCTGGGAAGAATCTGATGCTATTCAAATACATGATTATGAAGAGCAAATATACTATACTCCTAGTCATTAAAATTGTCATACCATGAAGGCAGCATGCAACAAAAGTCTTTGTTTGAAAGGTAGTACATGCTACAATAAGCAAATGATTAACATTCCACCCCATGCACACAAAACAGGTGTGAGTAGGGTAAAATATATTGAGTATGAAAAGAAAGATTTCACTACTGGTTTCTCATTTGGAAAACACATTTGAATCTTAGTTGTTTAAATGTCATTTTTGTTATGCTTCACGTACGAAGAAGAAAGTCGCATTTTGTTTGCATAGTCGGTAATGAAAACAACTGCTGTTACATTTCTGACATGTTAAGACCCTTGACTGTCCCTTATCATCAAGGTCTGCATGATGCTGTCTTTCAGCAAAATCATGCATGACCGCATATTGCCCATGATGCCCTGACCTTCTTCAGTGCAAAAGATGTTGAACTGCCCTGGCTAGCTTATTCTCCAGATGCCTCACCCATTGAGAACCTCTGGTCACGGGTTGTTGAAAGATTGGCATGCCATTACTCACCACTACATTTGATGAACTCTGCCATAGAGGTGAAGCTGCATAGACTGCAGCATGGGCTGCTATAGCCAGATCGAATCGCAAATTTCTTAGAACTATTACAGACTCACCTTGGTTTGTAAGAAACACTGCAATACATCGTGGAAGGAAAATCAAGCCATTAGATAGCAAGATCTTAATTGCTTCACATAATTTTTATACCAAATGGGATAATCATGAAAAATGAAGCTGTGCGTAGCATAGGAGATTATGACTTCATTCAACGCTGCAAAAGACCAAGAACGATACACCATAACAAGTTGTGGTGATCGATGTACATAGTGTATATAGTGTTTTTTCTACTTTTCATTATTTACTCTTTATTACCTTTACTTAATTATGCTGGCAAAGCGATATGGGCTTTGCACCCCTGGGCAGCACTTTGATGTCTATTATGCCTTAAAAATTTAAACGACTGGTCAGTGCACCTGTGCTCCGCCCACTTTTGTTATATGCCTCAACTAGTACGCCCACGATATTCTGTTGGCTTCAAGACACGGAGGAAGGAGGATGCTACACCCGTAGCACCTACGAGGAGAAAGTTATGGCAACGTTTTTATGCTGCAGATGTGCAAATTTGTTTTACGATGTGAATGTTATGCTTCAGATATGTTAAATCGCTATTTTACTTAAGTTATGCCACTGTTACATTATGCCACATTGGATATGATTCAGCACTTCAAGTGCCCAGGTTTGTTCCAAGATTTGGATTTATTTTTTCACTTTTAGAATACCCACTTAGGACAGTTATAGATAGGTAAAGCCTTTAGGATCGTATACCTATTAAATAAGCTATAACCTATGAAGTATCTATATTTTGTCATCCAAGCTCAGTCAATGCCCAGCTGGATTACAGCTGTTGTTACTGCCAGAGGTGACAGCTCTGTGTATCGAACTCTGCACCTTCTGAATTTCATGTACTTTGGGGTACACATATCCCAAAGTACATGAAAATTTAATCATGACATTCTCCTGTAAAATTCTGCTGTTTGTTTTCTTTCATGGTGGAGAAATTTTAATGGCCAACAGAATAATTATATACATAAAATCTTTTCCTTTTCAAATCAACATTGACAGTTATTTTCCCTTAAATTTCAGGTTATGTGAAATCTAAGAGAGAAATAAATAACTGTCGATGTTGGTTTGTTATGTTGGCTGTTTGGGGTTTCCATGATTTTCCTTATATATCCAGACTTGTTGGGACTTTGGCGATTCCGGATTAGGGTTTTTTTTCGGTTTATAGATCATCAATTTAAATCTGGTAAGATGGCATGCAGAAATTATAAAATTAAAAATATGAAACCGTAATTTATGAAATAAAGAGCAATTATGATCTAAAGGGTATCAAAATTTACAAAGAAAAAAAAAAAAAAAAAAAAAAAAGCTTAATATTTATTTGTTTACTTTATTAAACATTTCTTTCAATGTAAGTTGTTTAAGCTGCTTCGTTTTATGTGCTAATACTTTCTCTTTACTTCTATAAACAGACATAATTTCTTGTTCAGTTACAAAGTTCGCTGTTCAATTCCTATAATTGCTGTGCTGAGAATACCGACTAACTTGTCAATCGAAATTTTTTTGGTTTCACTAAATTCTCTGTCACTTTCTTCATGCCTTTATCCATTTTTTGCAGCAATTCCACTTTTTGTCTGATGGACATCGAAACTTGCTTTCGCTTTGTAGATCCTTTGGCAGCTCCAGAATCGGAAACTCTTTTTGACATAATCGAAAGTTCAAGCTTACGTTTTAGAAAATTTCTCTAACAGTCTGCAAAAAATAATAAGCCGGATCCAATTAGAAGATTAAGGAACAACGCAATCTGCAATATTAACTAAAATAGATAATTAGATAATTTTAGCCTAGCTTATACCATTTGTTATACATTACATGCACATGCATAAAGGTATTATGCACATGCATAAAGGTATTATGTGCAAACGCTACGCATGCGCAGAAAGTTTGTAGCTTTGAGGTCCGGATTAAAGACTTTGTACTGTATATGTTACAAACCCATCAGTGGCCAAATGGGTAAGATCTGTGAAATTTTAGAAAATTGCTCTAACAGTCTGCAAAAAATAATAAGCCGGATCCAATTAGAAGATTAAGGAACAACGCAATGTGCAATATTAACTGAAATAGATAATTAGATAATTTTAGCCTAGCTTATACCATTTGTTATACATTACATGCACATGCGTAAAGGTATTATGCACATGTGTAAAGGTATCATGTGCAAACGCTACGCATGCGCAGAAAGTTTGTAGCTTTGAGGTCCGGATTATGGACGTCCGGATTAAAGACTTTGTACTGTATATGTTACAAACCCATCAGTGGCCAAATGGGTAAGATCTGTGAAACCTAATCCACTGCAACTGGAATTCAGTGAATGTGCTGGCTGCCTGAATTATTTTCTCCTGATGTAATATAAATATGAACCAGTTTGCCATCGAAATTGTTTTGCAGAGGCTAGGCTGAGTACTTTGCCATAGATAAATAATCTAGTCACATATACTACAATCAGAAAAAAATTACTAATTCAGATTTCCACTCAAAGAAACTACAGTGTTGTTACTAGTATCTATTTTTCAGTGCTGAATTGAACAAAGAAAACATTGATTGACAGGTCATATGCACCATGTGCACAAAAGTCCTTACCCTGCAAACTCTTAATTTTTTTTTTTTTTTTACATTCTTTCAGTCTGTATACTTGCACTTAGGAAAATTATAAGCTGCAATAATGAAGTAAAACAGCATTAAACAATAGGAACTAACAGAAGCTATATACGAAGGACAAAGCAATGGAAGCGAAAATAAGTCTCTTTTCGTATAATGGCCTCCTGGGGGAAAGTGCCCATTATTTATTGTAACCATTTTAGTCAGGTAAATTAAAATCTTACAGGTATTCAGTAAGAATAATGCATAAAAAAGATTAACTGTAATAAAGAGCAAAATTCAAAAACTATTTTTAGAATTTCTCTATAGAAACATAATAAATGTGAAAGTATTGATGATACAAAGAGGATTCATAATATAATTTTCTATACATTATCTGAATGACAATGACAGACTGTTTTAATGTATGATTTATTGAAATATGATTGTAAATGTAGTTGTTTACGATGTCTCATTCAATGTGAAAAATTTTCTGTATGTCTGAAAAACGTTAACAGCTTTTCCCAATCTTACCGGAATGCCTGTTTTAGAGCGATAAATGATGTTTTGTGATAACCATATTTTCTTTTTGGAGATTTAAATTTTATAAGAAAAGGGAAGAGGGAAAATGCAGAATGCAGTTATGAGATTTTTGAATTATTTATCTTGACACCTGTTATTAATAAGTGGGTAGAATAATTTGGTGTTTCTTTCATTCCATAATAAAATCTTACTTCTTACTTCATGCTGGCCCTACCAGGGACCAAATGTTTAAAGACTGTTGAATATTGATACTTCATCTCAGGTTTGAAGCTAGGCAAAAGGACTGGATGCATGATTGATTTCATTGTTTTCTGAAGTCTCGCATGAATACGAGGCAGTTTCCATTAGAAAGTTCTCCAGGAAGGCATCACTACGCTTAGGCAGACAACCTAACCTTTCTTTAAACTAAATAGCTTTATACTGATATGCGATAAAATTACTTAATGTAAAGGTATGCAATGGATACACACGGTATGCAATGAATACACACGTGAACACTTCACGAGCGATGCTGAAATTACGTTACTTGAATTATACCTAAGAATAAGTTTTCAATGAATATTTAAAGTACTATGAATTTTTTCATAAAGGAACATGGGGCACTCATGCTACATGTGATTTTACACAGTGCGTCTACATAGGACTGAATTCATAAAAAATCAGAATCTAAAACTTTATGATTAATTAGCTTTTTACTTACAAGTATATTCTTTCTAATGCTATGCTTTTTTTATTATGTTCTGAGAGCTTCTGGATACTTTCACTGAAGTCAGCTATTCATTTAATTACATTTCCTGAGCTTCTGAAATAACTTCAAAAGGGGGCCTTTAAAGTTAAGTTCGTTCATTTCGTTACATTTCCTGAACTTCTGAGATATATTCAAAAGGGGGCCTTAAGTTTCAATCCAAGCTACAAAAGGTAGCCAGCAGATGCGCTATCTGGGACGTAAGGGGATACTTAAGAACAGTCATACGTTTCTCTTCCCTTTTGCTGTAGTGTGATAGAGGAAAATTAGGCGACTGCTGAAAGAAAACTTCTGTTGCTACTTGAAATCAAGTCGCCTAAAATGAGTCCCAACTGCACTACTTTTACGTAAGTGTGAAATGTGAACATTGCTACTTGAAATGAGTCCCAAGTGCAGAAATAAAAAATTCTGTTTAAGTTTATCTGTAAGCAGGTGTTTTACAGAATGTAAGATGAGATGTTTTGGTAATTCCTACTGCTATTTAACGACAAGACACTTCATTACGATAGCTTAAAAATTCAGCCATAAAACTTTGTGATACAGATATTGCACAATTGCTGAACTTTCTGCCTCTAGGTTTTGCTTTTCATGTAGCCAGTCGATGAAAATGAAGTCTCCTCTTCTCTCCGTTGATATTAGAGTACACTCATTGGAACAAAAAAAAAAAAAAAAAAAAAAAAAAAAAAAAAAAAAAAAAGAAGAAGAAGAAAGAAAAGAAGATTAAATTTTGAGAGTAAAGTGATACATTTTTTTGAAGACCATTCTGTATGTAATTTACATCTATAAAGTGTAAAAAATCTGATAAATGTGCTGCAAAAGTATCTACATTATCTGCACGCAAACAACCTTGAAATTTGAAATTCAAAAATAAATCATAATATTTTAGAAAAAATTTATTTTCAAGGGTTAACATTTTGTTCTTGATTATGTTTTAAAATGTAGCGTTACTTTTTTTAAAAAAAATGTTCTTGATATGTTTTACTGCTGCATTTATTTTCAACATGTTATTGTTAACAAGTTAACAAAAACAAAAAAGATGTCCAGTTCTGTCACAAAGGAACATCTTTTATTCCGCTCAATAACAAACCCATTAACTTCCCTGGATTCTTCATGAATCTGTTTTTCTTTTAATACCTAAGGTGATATTTTCTCATGCTTCTTTATAACTATGAGTAGATGCAAATGGAGTTTTCACACAATTTGATAAGGAATGAATCAGATCCCTGATTTACAGGTTAACACTAAGAATGAAAATTCATTCTTAGTGTCGTAAATGAAATCGTTTTTCGCTCTCTATCTGCCACTTCTTTCTTCAGTAAACTTCCAGGGTAATTCCTAAAAGTAAAAGCTGTCAACTTCAGTACACTTTAATGTTTCTGGAGTTGTAACTGGACTTCTTGTAGAAGCTAGTCATTTCCATGCTATTTATAAGAATAAACGTAACCTTAATCTCTCTTTAATCTTAATGAGCTATTGAACAACTTTTGTGTTCAACAAATTTTTAATAACATTTGTGTCATTTTATTCCTGTGAAGAGAATGCCATCCGAATGTTTCTCTTAAACTCAGTTGTGCTTTCTTCTTTACAGTAGATGCTGTTATCCTTCGTGGCTTCCTTGCGCCATAGTTGTCGGAGCTTTGCCTATATTTTATATTAGCTCCTTTCTTTCGCATTTAGTCCGATATGGACTGATTGGGAATCCATTTCGTCTTTCTTCTAAATCCACAATCTCTGAAGATTTCCAGTTCGGATTTTTAATATTCTTTTGTTGAATATCATTTCTTCCCTTTGATGTTGGCACGTGGTATACGGCATTGTGGAGGTTCAGGTGGACTAATAGGCTGAGAACCTTTTTGGTCGCTCATTTCTCTAATGTCTTCTCGGGAATCGGAGATTGTGATTGAAGTGTCTGCTTGAGCACTAGACATAGTAGAAAAAGGATTAGATTCTGTAGTTGGAGATCGTTTCGGGCTGCCTGTAGAGCTTCTTATCGGTTTTATTCCTGGTTTTGGAAAAGAAGGACTGCGCCCTACTTTTGATGGTGTTTGAGGAATGTCTGAAGATGGACTGCTGGGGGTACTTTCCAAAGTAGGAGAGCTAGGCTTCGTACTTTTGAGTGAAATGCCAGCAATTTTCTTTGAAGGTGTGAAACTGCTTTTAGCAAAAACTAAAGTCTCTGGTCGTTTTGGTGGAGGAGGAGATTTTTTTCTAGGATGTGATTTAAGCTTTCTATCATCCGTTGATATTTTTGCTGTTTCAACAATTCTTGCTTGTTGAGGTGATGCTTTCTTGGCGCTTTTAGATGTGGAATGTGATTCTGGTGATACTGACCTGAATGTTTTCTCAGGAGAAACTGATCCTTTTTTAACATATGTTGGGGATGAAGCCTCGGAAGACTTTTCTTTTCCTGGAGGAACAGATACTCGTTTGCTTGGCCTTTCAAGCTTTCCTGAATCAGAACTACAACCACTGGAATGTCCGGAGCTATTGGCTGCTGTTGCTAAATCTAAATGTTCTGATGCTTTTTGTCCATATCGTGTTACCATTATCTGTGGCAATGTATTTCTTCGCGATAGTGATTCAGTATCAGAAGCAGGCTCATCTTGTGATTCATCAGTGCTGATCTTATCTTTAGATGTGAACTGAGGAGGTGGAGATCTTTTCTTCTTAACTTTCTGCTTGGTTTTCATTACTTCTGAAATTTTTTTGAGCGATAAAGCTATAATTGGGTCTCGAATGCTTGGTGTGTCAGATTGTTGAATAATCGGTAAACTGCTTGCCCTAGTCATTTGGCTCTGTAATTGGTGGCCTTTTGACATTTTTTCTTCTTCAGATCCATACCGTTGTAAATCTGTCTGTCGCACCAAGAATGCTTTTCCAGTCGCTAATTGTTTAGCAGATGTAATCTGTTGAGTATAGTAATATGGATGCACTCCTGTTTCTTTTTCTGTTTCTGTAAGCTCTGGTGTTGATAACGTTATCTCAACTTCTGGTTCTTGATAGCTGACGTCCAAAAGAGACTGGTTTACTGATTCATCGTCATCTTTAGTATCTCTGCTAAATCGAACCCCTTTCAGTTTATAGAAAGGAAATGCAGAAGAAAGACGTCTTTTCCTGAACATGCTTTTTAGTTTTTCACGAGGAAACTTGGGTGCTATTTTGGGGCTCAAACCTCTTCGTATATTAAAAGCAGTTGTCGGTTCCTTTACTTCCGGAAAACTTACGGAAGTTTCTGGAATCTGCAAACTGAAAGATCTTTCGACTGTTGGCCTTTGAGTTTCAGTTTGCTCCACTTTCACCTCTTGAAGCACCATCTCATCATCTTCTGCTGTTGCCATGTCAATAACACAAGGAGATGCTTGATTGTATCTGAAAAGAAAACAATAATTTTCCTAAAAGGAATAATCTAATAAGCATTCTTATGATTTCACATTAGTAATTTAAATATAGCTCTGTTGAGATATACACAATAAAGTTAAGAAAGCTGTTTCAAAATATTTTTCATCATTTTTACATAAGTATGGAATTTAGAATGTCCAAGGAAAAAGTACTGTATCTGTAATTGTGTATGTGGAACTTTTATCTGGGATTTTCTGATGTTCGGCAACAAACTTTGAAATTGTAAAATCTAGTGAAGCTTATCGGAAAATTTCGGAACGTTTATGTTACGTTACCGCTAAGTACTTTTTATGTTACATCCACTTGCTTTTACAAATGTTGCCATAGTAATAGTACTGCACTGCCGAGCAATAGTGGATGAAAATCCATAGGTTCCTAGTGACCAACGTTGGTGATAACTTATATAATGAAAGTTGGTGAATATGAGTCTGATGGTCATCAGTGTCCTTCGGTTTCATTCAATTTTAAATATTTATATAAATTTTTCTGTAGGTAATGCTTTACCTCCAGCAATCACCGATGGCCAGCCTGTTGGTCATCAGTGACCTACCTGCCTTTCGATAGGCAACATGTTCTTTGATATAATGATATTTACCTTTCGCTAGGCAACATATTCTTCGATGTAATGATATTTTTAAAACTTATCGTTTTTCCCAAGGCTGGTGACCTGGAAGTTGTCTTCTGGTGACCGTCAGTTCTGGTGATCGCCTATGATAGTTGCCTTTCTGGTACCATTGCGTTTCCATAAAGTATTTTAACTTAAAACTCTATTTTGGGGACCCACTGCTTGATCTAGTGAACCACACCCTTAAAATACTCAAGTATTCTCCGATTTCGTTTTAATTGAAAATAATTTCGTTTTAATTTAAACTTATTGCACCGCGTTAGGGAAGTGGCTTGTGGGTTGACCTCAAGTAATCCCTGACCCGCAGGTCAACGTTAAACTTCATTGGTATTGACAAGCAGTGGTGACGGACAACCTGGATGAAAATCGGTGTGCTTTGAAAATTTTGATTTTAATTAAATTATTAATTAATTTTAATTAAAATATCTATTTAAATTCACGGTTGGGCCCCACAATGATAACCCATGTTTGTGTTGCTAGATCATTCTCAACCTTTTCAGCGGTGATCTGCTCCAATTAAATTTAGATTTGAATAATCTATCTGTATACTGCATTCTCTCACATCTGTGGCTTATGTTGAACTCCAGTGATTTGTAGATTATTGTTAACTTTAAATTGAATTCAGAACAGCTTTGACGGGCGTCGATGTGTTCCGATTTAATTGTAATTTAAATGTTTTCTTTGTTTATTGCACTGCCTGGCATTGGTGACCCAATGTGTTGATGCCAGATGTTACCTAACTTGTTAGGTATCATCTGTCATTCTTATGTAGTTTGTAGCACCATTCTACATTGCACTGCACTATTCTACATTCTGTATTAACTGCGCTATTCTACAGTGATTACCCGCTGGATGATCAATGTAGAATAGTGCAGTTACACCACTACATTGATTAACCGCTTGGGCGGCACTGATAACTTGTAACTTTGATAAGTACTTGTACTGTTCAATTTAATTTTAATTAAAAAAATTATCAGAGCTTATTGCACTGCATACAGGTTATCCTTTCTTTGAACCCATGTGGCGCGTAACCTGTTGATCCCATGTGACCAATAACACTGACTCGCGCCGGTAATTTAATTTTAGCAGCGTCGTTTTATAATTTTGATATCAGAAATGTCCTTAGCGGAGTCATTTCTAAAATCATTGCATTGTTACGTCTTGCTGCCACTAGCCTTGTCAAGTATTTCTACTGCATTAAATATAACGTATTTATCTTACATGTACTTCTTGCATGAGCAGTTCTCAAAATGTTATCTTTCGACATAGACCTTTGATTTATTTTTCGAATTTAATCAATCTGTAATTGCTTAATCAATTGAAAGATTGATGAATTGTTGAATATTTGTCAATAATATAAATATTATAACCCTTTAGATATACAGGGTGGTTATAATTAAAGTTCCACTTTGAAATGGCCATAAAAGGAAAACTACTGCACCAAATGTTATCAAACTTGGTAATCGTGTAAGAAAGGTCATGGAAATTTATTTTCCGCGAAATGGCGCTGTATGCAAACGAATTTCGTTTAACAATATTGCATTTTCCGAAAGCAAGTTAAATCGTATTACTGCATTCTCAGCAGAAGCTCTTAGCATATCAAGGAGGAATGTTACGGACATGTCGGTGCATCCAGTGGCGTAGCTAGGGTGGGGTAAGGGGGGACATCCGTCCCTGGGCGCAACATCCAGGGGGCGCCACATTGATGATAAACATATCAGAATGGAATGTTTTCCATCCTTGGAACACAGAAAGGGGCGCAAAATCTTTACGTGTTCCAGGGTGCTGAAAACCTTAGCTACGCCTCTGGGTGCATCGCATCTTTCAGTTCCGCCAAATTGTTTAGATTACCAACATAAACAGTGCTGCTGTAAGCCAATTACATGCCAATGAGATTTTGCATAATCCCGCAAACAGTTTCGTTTTAGAAACGACTAAAAAAGTTTTAAACCGATATCTTCATGTCTTAGGGCCGAATTCATGCTTCGAAAACCACAAATTAGCAATCTGTAAGAAAAACGATTTCCGGAATGCACACACTTTTGCGAGTGATTTGCAATCTCACATTTTCTTATCGTTAATTTATTGTTTTCATCGACGGATTTCTCCGTTACACTGATGACGCACTCGACCTCTATCGTTTTTAACGCCTTTAAATGGTAATTTTGTTTAGGTCAACGTTTCTTAAGGATCAACGTTAACGTTTCAACATGTTAAACCTTGTAACAAAAGGTTAAGTTAGATTCCGACCCTTATTTCATTTAACAATGATGTATATAGCGCCATTTCCCCTTGGTGTTGAGTTTTTGAACTTTGTTTTTTCACAGAGAATAAATTCCCATGACCTCCTTTACACAATTACCAAATTTGATAACATTTGGTCAGAGTCGTAGCTAGGGTTTTTAGTGCCCAGGGACAACTGCTGATTTCGCGCCCCCTACTGCTTGCCAAGGATGGAAAACATTTAATTCTAAAATGTCGTAACATCAGTTTGTCGCCCCTTGGATTCTGCGCCCGGGAACAGATGCCCCCTCTAGCTACGCCCCTGCATTTGGTACAGTAGTTTTCCTGTTATGACCATTTCAAAGTGGTGTGTATTTAATTGGTGTATTTAATTATAGCAAAGCACACTAGGGCTATCTGCCTAAGGGGAGGGATGCCTTCGTGGAGGACTTTCTAAGGGAAACTGGCTCGTATACACGTTACACATGGGGAAAACCACGAAAACACCCATGCAGCCAGCCCGTTCGCGGGATTCGAACCTCGGACCGAACTATCAGTGTTCAGCGACTTTACCGCTCGGCCGCTGGTGGGCCCATTTCAAAGTGGAACTTATATTTATAACCACCCTGTATATTTTGCATACAACAGATGCATCAATAGTGATTTGGTTTCCTTTTTTTTTTACGTTTTTCCATTATCTAAATACCCGCCATAGAACCTTCTCTCGTTTTATTTATGGTTTAAAGTTCTTTCAGGTTTTATCTAGTAGAGTATTATCAGTAACATAGGCAAAATACAATGAACCCTCTTTGGGGGACACATTTCTAAGACACTTACTCGGAAAATGACCTGTATTTCTGATTAAATAAATAAATATCGAAACTGAATATATCTGTTTAAAACGACCACTTTTCCAGAAGACCAAGTCTTAGCAGGGATGAGTGAATTTAATGACTTTACATATTATCACATTTGACAAATCAAGTATATATATTTTATAAGCGTTAATCAGAATAACGTATTAAAATCATATGAAATAAATTAAAAGATATTTTAGCAAGTAAAAGAGACAGTAAAAAATATTTCTGTTTGAAGATTTAAATAAGTTTTATGCAGTGTATAAATAACATTGATAAGTGCGCTAGATTTCCATTGAAAGTTTTAAGTAACACAATTTTATATTCTAATTATTTTAAAATATAATGCATATGAATTAAAATAATAATACTTTTTTAGATGATTTTAATATATTTTTGAGACGTCATGTTCTTTTTAAAAGTTTCCTATTTATCTATACATTAAGTGTATTTAAAACAATTGTGTATTACTTATTTAAAACAATTGTGTATTATGGTGATTTAATCACATTACGCAAGGAGGTTAGAATAGATGGAGTAAGCATGATGTCACAAAAATTAAGCCAAGAAATGTCAGCGAGAAGACGTCACGGCTTATGGCTGTCATACTGCGTACGAATAAGACTTCGAAACATATTGTTAAATTTATTAAGTTGACTTATAATTTAAGCTACCATTTACACTTCTGCATGTAACGAGATTTTTATTAAATTTGAAATAGTAGTTATTTGCAATTCTTGCGATTTTTTTTTTTTTTTTTTATATAAACTAAGTAGAAAATCAATTATGTTAAGTATTAAAATTAAAACGGGAGACTTATAAATGTTCAATGATGTAACAACACCAATTAGAATGTAAACGAAACCAAGTAGAAGTTCGCCTATGACAGAGGCCATGATAGGTTGTGACATCATACCGTGACATGTCATGGTTTCATTTTCATTGCGCGGGGTATACGGAGAAGGGTTACTCCATTTAAATTCTAACCTCATTGACTTTGCATCCAAAAATGCGAGAAACATTCGAGGAATTTGATTTTGAATGTTAAATAAGTATCGAAACCTTCGAATTACTTTAGAATTATAACAACAGTATTATCACTTGGCGAAAAATTTATGTCGTTGTTGTTTGGTGCGCCGGCGAAACGGCGGAAAAAATATTAAATCGCATCTTGAATAATTAATCTTTTTGTTTAATAAATAAATCATCACATGCAATAGTGCGACATGTAATA